AGCACGACTGCGAGCCCGGGGCCGCGCCGGGGGACCGCCTGCCGCCGCGCCGCGCCCTGCTGGAGCTGGCCAGGTGGGCCCGGGCGGCGGGCGGGCGGGCGGGACGGGGCGGGGGCCGCGGGCCGAGGAGGGGCCCGGCCGGCGGGCTCACGGGTCGGCTTTCCGCGCCTCTAGGTCTCTCTTCCACGGCCTGGAGATCGACGTGGGCGCGCTGCGGGGCGGCGACTGGGAGCACCGACTTCCCCCGCCGGCCGCCAGACGGGCCGTGGAGGGCCTGCCCGAGGTCCGCGTCAGCGCCCCGCAAGCAGGTGGGCGAGGGGCTGGGGCGCTGGGCGGGAGCGGCTCCTGCGCGTCCCCTCCGCGGGCCTTCCGGGGAGCAGAGGCGGAGCCCCGTGGGGAGGCCCGGGCCGGATGCCCAAAGGGACCGGGGGGGGGGCACTTGCGGAGAAGCGCTGGGCTGACCGGGGAGGGGGGGGAGGACGGGACGGGCGGATGCAGCCGGTTTGACGCTGTGCTGTCTCTCGACCCTCCGCGCCCGCCCGGCGCTCAGCGAAGGGGCTCCAGTGCCCGGTGTGCCTGCTGGAGTTCGAGGCGGCGGAGGCGGTGAGGACGATGCCCTGCCAGCACCTCTTCCACGCCGGCTGCCTTCTTCCCTGGCTCGGAAAGGTGAGGCGGCGGGGAGAGGGGAGGCGCCCCCTCCGCTCCGCTCCCCCCCCGCGCAGGTGCTGAGGCCTTTCTCCCTCCAGACCAATTCCTGCCCGCTGTGCCGCCACGAGCTGCCCACCGACGACCAGGAGTACGAGGAGCACAAGGAGGAGAAGGTGAGGCGGCTGCGAGGCGGCCCCCCTCGTCCTGCTCGCGGAAGCCGGGACTGGGCCACGCGTGGGGGGGGGGAGCCTAGCCGGGCCTTCTTGCTCTTGGGCCCCCAGGATGGAGCTTTGAAGGGCGGGGATCCCACTCGCCTTTGAAGGGGGGGGCGACTTGGTAGCAGGGCTCTTGCGTTCAGCAGGAGCCCGTGAGCCAAGCGGCTGGGATCCCCCCCCCCCTTTGCAACGTTGGCACCTCGTCTAGTCTGGGTGCTGCGAGTCCAGGGCTGGCCGGGTGATGTGCTTCAATTCGAGGTTTGCAGGATGAACTCCTCTATTTTAATCTGAAAGGCTCGGAGGCAGCAGCAGGTGCACCGACTGGATTATCTGCATGGCGCGATGTACACGTGACCCTACAGTGTTGCCTTCATCATCTGGGGCAACGACGACAGCAGGGATTTCCCCAGTTGCAAAGGGCAGAAGCAGCTTCCGGGGACAAGGAACGCAGCGCTCGCCAGTGGTGCCCCTGTCCTTCTCCTCCGGAGCGACATGCAAACCTTCTCAATGCTTTTTCTAAGCAAGCCCCCAAACACACAGAGAGCTCAGAGTGATTTTTGAAAAATAAAGGTAGCAAATGTCTTTGCTTTCAAAGCTGAGCTTGTTTGGCATTGTTGGGGCAGAGATGAGGGGAACTACCTCCCAAAATGGCCTATGTGGGAAAAAAAATAGTATTCAGTTTCTCTCCACCCTTTCCTGTTTTTTGTTCTTATGTCACATCCAGCCATATTAATTCCCACCACTTGCAAGTGCCCAGGGTAGGATGTGTGGCAGACTAGAAATTATGTCCGCTCCCCCCCCCTTGGCAAAACAGAGATCCACAATACAGAAACACCCATATACACCACAAGCAGTCTTCCCCTGATAGCTCTTTTTATATTTCGTTTACATAGGTAAAGATACAAAACAGTTCTACAAAATATCAAACTACTTTACCCAGGGCTGAAGAGAGAAAGGAACTCTGTATGATGTTGGGGGTTTGTGAAAATAGCAGAGGGGGTCTCTTTCCCATACTTCAGGTTTATTTTCTTGAAAGGCCTGGAACAAGAGGAGGGGTGTATTTCCACCAGCACAGAGGACACCCCCAAATAAATTTGCTTCTGGAGCTTAAGCAACTCTTGCCTCGAAAGAAAATGGGGTGGCAGTGAGGCACAATTTTTGCCAGAGGAACCTGGGTTCTTGGGTACCCCGACATGCACAAGAGCCCCCTTCCGGCTTGGAGGCACTCCGTGAAGGGTGGCAGGAGATCCGGCAGAGAAAGCGCTTCAAGGTGACCTGACGCGAAGGTGGGCAAAGAGATCCTTGGGACATCTCTGGATGTTTGGAAAATGAAGTTTCTCAGATGGGCTAGGCAGCCACGTATTCTTTAAAAAACCATCTTGGTATAAAAAAGTGGTCCAAAGAAAAGCCAGCCTGCCAGAGCAGCGGAGAGGGCGGGATAGGCCGGCCCTCCCTCCCGCCGCCCTCATATCATGGCAATGCTCTCCGGGTGGCAGTTCAGGTGGGCAGAGGGGCTGCTGCTGCTGCTGCCTGGCGACTTGCAGCCTCGGCCGCTGGAGTGCTGCAGGGCAGCAACCAGGGTCTCGTTGGAGACGGCACCAAACTCGTAGCTGAAGGTTCCATAGAAAACAAGAATGTTGACGACAAAGACCCACTCGCAGATGGCGGCCAGGTGCTGCAGGAGGAAGCTCTGGTGGGTAAAGAAGGCGCCGCCTGTAGTGGGGTCAAGGCAAGGTCGGAAGAAGGTGGCCTGGCCCGGGGGATGCCAGGTGCCCAAGCAAGGAAGTCGAGGCCGGTGCCCACCCCAGGGACTGAATCGGGGCAGGACGCAGTTCTTCTGCGTGGGGGAGAGGGGTGCTTCTGAGAAAGCACGGGAGCACAAGAGGTGGGCCGATAGAGAACTTCAGTTGGGGGAGAAACGGGAGAAGGGGGCTCTGGGCCTCTCCCCAACCAGCAGGTTGCCATAAAAGGATACTGAGGACAAGAGCGATGAAGGCCGTGGTGGAGAGGAAAACACGCAGATGGGCCATCCAGAAGTCCAGGGCAGAAACAGCCGTGTGATAGGAGAGGAAGCACTGCAGGCAGATGAAAAGCAGGCCAGCTGGGAAGGCAACACCAGCTCCGATGTAGTGAAGAGATTTGGCATAATCCACCTGGAGGCAGTGGGAAGCCCAAATAGGATGGATGGTTCCTGTTGGAGCTCTGCCTCAGCGGCACATGGGGCAACTCAGGCAAGGATGCCCAGCATGAGTCTGGCTCCAGTGAAGCTGCCGAGGGCAAAAAGCAGCCATTGCCTCTCGGGGAACACAAACATCTTGCAACATCAGCATGAGAAACACAGCAATAGGTTGAACAGCTAACCCAACTGACACATCCACTCCGCCCTGGCAAAGAGGAGTTCAGGCTTGGCCATTTTCTGGCAGCTCTGCGTTTGCAAAGGCCTCCCCCCTTGTGGCGTGTACCAGACCGGCTCTGGCCGCTAGGGCAAAGGCAGTGCTACAGCCGCAATTATTGCCTTATTCAAACCAAATGAGTTAGCTGCTCAAGCTTTTGCTGAAGGATGGGAACAAATGTGCAGTGTGGTTCTCTCTGCTCCACAAAGGCCAAATAGCCACCAAGAGGTCCCACAGGGCCAGGAAGCAGAAACAGCACACAGCAACCCTAACCTTGGAGACAACTGTCCTTTCAACCAACCTGAAAATTCCCAACCACCACCAGGCCAGCCGCGTTGGTGCAACCTGTGACAAGGGCTGCTGTGTTCACCCCGGAGGCCTGTCTCTGCTCTAGAAGTTGCCCGTAGCGCAGGAAGCAGATGATGGCCACTGGGAGGGAGGAGAGAGAGAGAGGCGCGTCAAACCCAGCATGCAAAGCAGAGGAACAAGCTGTGGCACCTCATGGGAATGGCCTTCCCAAGGACAAAAAGCCCACATGGACGTGCACAACATGGCAGTCAAAACCAAGCAAGCCATCTTAAGCCTTAATGTGTTGCATGAACCTAGGTGATTGACTTGTCAAGACAAACTAAAACTTGGCATGATATTGAAACCAGACCATGCAAAAAACAACTCTTCAGGTTTTATGATCATGAATTCTAGTGAGCTCAACATTCCAATGAAAAGAAAAATGGGGGGGGGGGTTTAGAGAAGGATATGGATGCACCAAGGGAGTGTTTGATCTATATGTTGGCAGCAACATGTATAGGAAATAGAAGGTGGGTATAACGCAGGAAAAATGTTAGCAAATAATACCATTTGGAGACCTTCAGACGGACTAAAGAACGAGGGGAACCTGAGCTATTAGAGAGACTTATTCGGGGGCCATGTCAATTACAAAAGTCACAGACTGGAGCTTGGAGAACAGGTTCAGTCAAGAGGGAGCGGAGACTGAGCAGAGCTTCTTCACATGCTAATGGAATTGGGAAAAGGGGAGGAAATGAATACTTACCCAAGAAAGCTCCAATGTTCCCAATAAGGCTGAAGAGGCAACTTTCAGGAGGGTAAGTGCCACATTTACTAAAGGGGGGGAAGAGAGCATTAGCACGAGAGGCAAGTCACCCTGTGCACTTGCTTTAAACCCACCCATTTTGGGAACTGCCTGGCACCGTTTCACCTGCCGGCTCATCCTCCATGAGCTGCTTTCCACCTCACCTGATCAAAGGGACATCTTCCAAGGTGCAGCAGCTTTTGGGGTAGCCGTGCTTGGCAGAATCAGCAGAACATGACTCGTTGTACGACCTGCAGCCATTTGGACAGATTACGTGGTATTCTGAGATGCTCCAAGAAAAAGAGACCCAAGGCCCTCCTCTCTCCCACTAGCAGAATGTCCTCCCGCTTTCCAGCACAACTCACCAGTTCTCAACAGGGCACACGTGGTGGTTCATGACTGCCATGGCGTAGCTAGGAGATGGTGCAAAATAGATGATAAGACAGCAATAAGTGGGTAAGTTTGAAAATAAATAGTTCCCTAATGTTTATGGAAGTCTGTGTTAGCCTCTCTCTCTTGGCTCTCCAACTGATTGCTCAAAGTTCTCAATCAATCAAAGCAACAATATCAAATCCGTTGAACAAACTCCTTTAAATAGGGATAATTTTAAATGATTTTTAATAAGAGACACAGCTACAAATATTTGGTTTTTAATTGGCTTTTATTGGGGAAATGTGCTATGTTGTTTTAATATGCTGTGAGCCGCCCTGAGTCCCGTGGGGAGAAGGGCGGCATATAAGTCAATGTATTAAATTAAATTAAATTAAATTAATTAATTCCCCCAGTATGTTTTTAAATTCCACCGAAATGGCAGAGAATGCCGCTTTCCAGCAGAGGCCTCCCTGGGTGAAGGAACTCCCAAGTGGTTCACATCACCAGACCCACAAAGCCTTTAGAAGAAACCCCTTCCACTCCCACGTGCCCCTTTAGCCAGACTGAAGGTTACAGAAAAGGGCCAGGATTAGGGAGCATCTCTCATTCACCTGCAACTGCCCGTCGAGGCATGGCTTGCCAATCTTTCCCCAAAGGCCTTTCAATCGCTGGCCCACTAAAGGATACATAGGCAAGATCCAGGACAGCCCACTACCTGGAGACTGGAGACCTCTATCCCTAGAAAAACAAGCTACAGAAAATTTCCAGGAAACCACAAAACCTTAAAGAAAGTTCAGTCCCAGCTGAGCTCTGGTTGTGCCATTTGCCCAGAAAATCAGCCCAGCTGGGGGTAGCACTGAAGCCAGGACTTTTGCTTTCCAAGCAGCCTTCGGGAGATCAGGTACGAATGTGACCTTTGCCTGACACCCCACGGCCAACTCTGGTTGCTCGAGTTTGCCAGATTGGTCCTTTGAGCAATGTAGGTTAGCAATAAAAAGTTCCACATTCGGTTTCTGCCCAAAATGTCCTCTGAAGATTTGAAACCAGGGTCCAGAGGAAATACTTTTAAAAACTGTTGCTGTAATCACCACAAACTTTCCCACTGGGCTTGCATCCTTTTATTTCACCAATTCTGCATTTTGTCTCCCAAATGTGGAGCTGTGGAGCACCCCAAACCCATGAAGGGTTTCTTGATGGCAAACTTAACATCATATTTTTGCAAAGAACAACTATTTTGTTCTACCTAGGGCATGATTTCCATATGATTCAATTACATCAATGCAAACACTTTGGACCAGCTTAGAAATAATTTGATGCCAAATAAATAGAAATGGGAGTTATCTTCTGTCTCACCTTGCTGATCTTGGCTGACCTACTGTAGAAAACTAGGCAGTTAGTCCGAGGGAGTCCTTTCAAGCTGCTGGCTAGGCAGGATATGCAAGACAGCAATGAAAACCATTTACTGGATGGATTGTAACTTTAGACCCCCAAAGTTGAGCCTCATTTTTTTAAATATAAGTGATTTCTCACCATTTGTATTTTGGCAACTGATGTAATAAGAACTTCAGGGTTAGGGTTCCTGACATCCTGTGTAAATGTTTAGTTGTGACTTAAAACAAAAAGAGACAAAGGTACTTTTACAATGTTTTTTCTACAGAAGAATCCGTGTAAAACTACAGGTTTATTTCAGATATGATTGCAATTAATTTACAAAGAGCCACAACAAGAACTTTATGCTCCAGAAAATGTTTTATATGTTCAATTTCACATACATATCTTTTTAAAAATATTTCTTCACTAAGAAATCAGTAACAATATTTAAAAGGGCTTTAACCAATGAATTTAGGAGAGCTGAATTTATAAATTAAAAGAATTTTAAAACTCAATTCAGAGAGACAGGGAGAGACAAAAGAGGATGAAATATCAGATTCTGTAAGTACTATTGGCAGAATAATAATAATAATAATAATAATAATAATAATAATAATAATGGCTAATATATATGCCCCTTCAAATCTATACACTACTAAAACTCTTGTTCCTGTAACCTTTAACTGGACAAAACAGTGCATCCTAGGGCAACCGTTTTTGAACCAAAGTACCCAAAATGGGTTAACTTACAGAATGCATCCAAAATTCAGGGCTCATGACTCCCATAAAATTAAAATTTGGCAAATTTTATGAAACATTTTACGACATAAATATTAACAAAGCAATTTTTGACTTAATACAAAATGTCATCAAATATTTCCTGTGCTCAGCCCCCGATGTTTGACTATGTTATACGGTTTAACGTGGGCTCCTTTCAAGACAGAGAGATTCCTGCTTGTACCTGTCACAGTTGAAGGTATTAAGGAATCTGGTAAGGAAACGTCTCTGAAAGGATGACCCAATACCTTGTCTAGTATTATTTAAAAAGTATACCAGAACTATTTAGGTTTTCCCCAATGCAGTCTTGGCTATTTTAGTTCCTAGACCATGGCCAGATGCAAGAATTTAGTTCTTCCAAAGAAGATAGCCTAAAAAGATGTAAAAAATGAAATCTAAATATGCAAAGCATTTTTCTAATGTGATAAAAATGTCCTTAAAGATGATATTGATAGCTGCACTACAGTATATGGGAAAGATAGAGATGGGATACTCCCAATTCAGTTCCACCAACACAGAGGAAAATTGGTAAATAAATAAAACCCATATTCCTTCACTTGAACCAAGAGGTATAAATTTGTATGCTCAAAGCTATGATATGGTAACTATCAAGAAATCTAATTGGTTTACAAAATAAAACCAAGCTCCAACGATAGAATCACCTGCTAACATCACAGAGATACAATGTGAAAATACAAAATTGGTCATGAACTGTCAGGTCCTGAAATCCTTATTGTTTTTTTTCCCTGCATATATGCTCTTGTTTTGGGGCCTGCCACTCTGCTGGGGGGAGGGGGGAATTTGCTTTTGCTAGGGATAACTTTCGCTTTCTCTTTCCTCTCCCGCCTCTCCCCACTTGGAGAAAGGAATGTGTCTCCCTTATCAGGGAGACGGTTACAGAGAAACGAAAGCTGGAGAAGACCTTGAGATGCCCGCCAACTGTGCCAGTTACCCACACACCATGCCACCTGTGGACTGGCTGGATTTCAAATGGACACTATGACTCTGGTGGGAGGAGGAAAATTGCTTGCTTAACTATACCGTTTTAAGTGGGATTTCCCCCAGACCTCGCCTTGACTTCCCCACTGTCACTGACCCCTGAGGAGAGAGAGGAGAGAGAGAGAGAACTGAACTGAAATTTCCACCATGCAGTTCTGTCCCTGCCCCAAAGGCCAGGTCAGGAAAAAAAAAAACTTCTTGTGTGTGTGTGGGGGGGGGGGGATGAAAGTTGCAAGCTACCCAGCAGCAGCTCTGGCACCACATTGTTCCCTATTGCAAGGCTGGGCCACGCAGATAAATGTTGACCATTATGTTGAGTTTGAATAATCAATTGGAGAGCTGCAATGTTCCGTTTATCTATCAAATTAAACATGGCAATGTTGCTTAGAAAATCCCCCCCTCCCCCCCTTGCATTTGCACAGAGCAGCAGCAACTTTCCTCCTCCAGATGTAATTTTGCTCCATGTGATGCTAAAGAGTAAATTACTTTGGAGGAACAAACGTTCAGTTGAAAGATAGTTATAATAAATAGAAACACCCCCCCTCCATATTCCTGAGTGGGAGGATCTCTCCACAGCAGCTTCTGCACAGGGTCCTTCTCTTCTCCCCTTCCCAAGGCTGAATGGAAAGTTCCTCTAAGTGGCAGCAGCCGGGTAAGGCAAGGACACAACCTGTTGCGGGCTCTTTGTGGGAAACAGACCAACGCCATGTTTATGCTGCAAGACGGATGCCTCATGACGTGCGCATATCAATCAGGTCATCTGCAGGAGCAGGACCCCCCCCCCCCCCAGATTCAATCTGCGGTTTGGAAGAGGCTGCCCTAAGCAACACCACCTGTTGCGATCAGCCTGCCTGCACTTGGGGGGGTGTGTTTGTGTCTTGGGCCAGAGAGCCAGTAAGGGTTATGAACTGCACTCACATCCTCCCAAGAGCATCACAGTAAATGTAGCCACAATGAGGGCAGGTGAGCCACATTAGGCAACCTAGCCCCGAAAGATCACGGTCTCTTTGCTGCTGGCCCACAGAAAGAGTGGGGCGCTCTGGCTAAGCCAGGCTGCTGGGGCAGGAGGAGGAAGTAGCTACAAACCATCCCCTCCAGAGGAGACATGAACATGAGCTCTGGTGATCTGGCTTTAGGCCCCTTGTGGTCTCCAGTAGGCTCAGTGCCAACTGCCATTCAAAATGCAGAGAAGCACACAACCACCACGTTCCTTCGTGAATCACATCCTGTGCAGGTCATGATTTGGCAACACATTTGAGAAGTAATTCTGCCAGCAGGAGCCCAAGAGAACTGCTGACACAACTCTGCAGCAGTACTTGGAGCTCAGGGAGCAGCAGAAGGACCGGATGCTTCTCTGCAGGAGGAAACAAAGCATGCAGGCTCCACCTCTCATGCATGACCCAGCCACAACTCACAACAGCTCTTACACAATCCATATTCCAGTGATTGAGAAGGTAGAGAGGCTGATAGGGAGGATGATCCACGCAGTCATCAGTGAGTGCAGAAGGGGGACCCTTAAGAGGGAGAGGGGGGAGAGAGGAGAAGGGAGGGGAGGGGAGGGATGGAAATGGGGGACCCAGCCACAGCCCAAGGCCTCCAGCTGGAACCAGGTGCTCCTAGAAGAGAAGCAGGAGAAAAAGATGGGTCAGTCAGAGTCAGCCCTTCCAGGAAATGACTAGACAAATTCTACTTAAGGGAGTCTTCTAAGTCTGACGGTACAAATCTCCCCTCCCCCCCCCACCACTTTTAACTATCAGGGCAGGTCCTTCCTAAGTTTCTTCTCCGGCCTTAGCCACTGGGGACTCCTGCCTCTCTGGTGGTTTCCTAGGCAGCATCTCTTCCCCTCCTCTCCCAAGGTCATTTCCACATATCACTAGTCGGCAGTCTTGGACAATTGTCTGACCATGCAAGTATTTTCTGAAGTTGCCTCTTCTCCAGATCAAGTTTCAAGTCACTGGCCTTATTTCAAGAATGCCACTGAACGTCTTTCAGTTTTTGCCCCAAGTCCCAACAGAATCCCCTCAGGCCAATACTGCCCAGTTCCCTCCTTCTTGACTTTAGAAAATGAGCAGAGACTTTAGTTAGAGGACAGGCCGTGTTATTAGAGAGTAGAACACCTTAAGTAACCTGTACGTGAGTCAAGAAGCAACACTTAGAACCGGAGATGGAACAACTGATTGGTTCCAAATTGTAGCAGGACAAGGCTGCGTATTGTTGTCCTCCTTATTTAACTTATATGCAGGGTGCATCATGCAAAATGCCAGGCTGGATGAATCTCAAGCAGGAATTAAAATTGCTGGGAGAAATAGCGAGAGCCACTAATGGCAGAAAGGGAAGAAAGAGGAACTAAGGAGCCGCCTGATGAGGGTGAACGAGGAGAGGGCAAAAGTGGGCTTGAAGTTCAGCGTTAAGAAAACTAGAGATCCTGAAGCTGCAGCTCAAAGGCTTTGGCCACTGGAAGACAGCGCTCCTCGGAGACGAGGGAAGGCGGCGGCGGCGGGGAGGCTTGGACGGGGCCATCCAGGCGACCAAGAGGAGTCTGGGCAAACTCCGGGAGACTGGCAGGGCGGGCAGACGCCGCTTGGCGACTCCACAGCAGCTTCTCCGGCGGCCGCCACTCGCCCCGGCCTGACAACGCAGCCCGGCTTCTCCAGACCGTCTGCGCGCTCCCGGCCCTCGGAAGCTCCACCGAGCTCTCCGTTTCTCAGCGGCCGCCGGAGCCGACCTTTCCGTCCCGCCTCCCTCCCACGCGCAGCGGCGGCCCGGCGGCCCCCTTCCAGCCGCGCGGGCCGAGGAGCGGAGAGCAAAGCTCCCTCTTCCCGCACACCTGCCCCCCGCGCTCCAGCCCGGCCCGCCCGCCCGCCCGGCCTCCCTCCCTCCCGCGGGCGCTTCCCTTACCGCTCGCCGCCCCTGACGGCCGGAGCCTCGGAGGCCAGGCCAGGCCAGGCCGGTGCCGCCCAGCTGACCAGGCGGGGCCCAGCCTTCAGCCGGCGGGGAGGGGGCGCGCGCGGGGAAAGCTGGGAAGAGCCGGCGCCCCCTCGGGCCGCCCTTCTTCGCCAGGCGGGAGCTCTCGGGAGGCGCCGCGCTCGGGCATTGCGAAGCGGCCCCGGCCGAAGGACTGCAGAGGCGCCGCGCCTCCCCGGACAGAAGCCGGAGCCGGCCCGCTTGGCAGGGGAGGATCGCTGGGGGCGGGTTACGCCTGCGCTTTGCGGCCCCCGGCGAGAAACCCCGGCGGCCCCTCGGTCTTCAGGGCCGCCAGCCGCCTTCCCGGGGGGCGGCAGTGGGGCCCTGGGCGCCTGGAACCCGCTTGGGACAATTTCGGCTTGGAGCAAGCGAAGGTCGGAGTGCGGGAGGCTGCCCGGGCAGGAGAGCCCTCCCCGGGCTCCGAGGCCAACGCCTGGCTAGGCTTCGTGGTGGAGGAGCTCGCTCCTTCCCCGCCCCCGAAGAAGGCAGGTGGGGGAGAGGGGAAGGGGAGGGCTGGTCCCAAGCTGCTTCCCCCCCCCCCCGCTGCTCCTACAGCCGAGCCAGGCGCGTTGCTGCTCACTCGGGGGGGGGGCGGGTGTTCCCCCCTGGCTGTGCTTGGCGCCTGGTCAAAATGTGCTAAAAGGTAAGTTTATTGAATCAATTTCTATAGCCACCCAACTCAATCTAAGTGACTGTGGGTGGCTTACAATTCTAAAATTATAAAGCAAAGGTGAGAGCTTATGCCTTTCTGTAAATAAATAAAAATGAAATAAACCAATCCCCTTGGATGAGCTTTTTTTTAAAAAAAAAACCTGCATAAAATACTTTGCTCCAGGTTCCCCTGGAACAAGCCCTGGGCCTGGCTGAAGCTGAGGAACAGGCCTGACCCACAAAGCCCTTTGTCCCTCTGATTTCCTGGACTGATTTGAGTTCTGGAGAAGATCTCCTGAGCCCCTTAGATTTCTTTTTTCACCTTGATGTATGAAGGTGAATTCCTAACGAATCAGTGACTATTCTGAGGGGGCTGCAGGACCTGATCCTTGACATCCACTTGTGTGTGTATTTGTGTACCCTTACAGCTAGTTTTCAGTGCCCACGTACCCAAATGGCAGGGAGACAGGGATGCTCGTTTGCCCCACGGGAGCCCAGCCTTGTAACTGTTCTTTGGAGAAGGGCACTTGCCTTTTAAGCTCTAGTAGTCGGGGAGGTTTTTCTTTTTGTAGCTCAATGCGTTGTTGTGTGGTCCTGAAGAGGATTGTTTCCCAGAAACAATCTGGGAAAAAGCTGCTTAAAAAGAATGTAAAATGCAAGCCCTTTTTATAGAAGCAGAGTTCAATTTTGGATCTTCTTTCTCCTCCCTGCATTGTTAATTGTCTGAGAGCCTCTCATGCACGTGAGCAGGAAGAACAGGGACAACAGTGCCTTCTTATTTACCAACAATGTTTAGTCAACAAAAGGGTCGGGTAGGTTTTCACAAAACCATGCAAGCATTCAGAACAAATTCCTGCACCCAAGAACTATTATGGAAGAGCAGGTTCCAGGTCTTTATCTACAACCCTGTGCTACATTTCTGAAAGCCTTTGCTGTCGGGAAGAGGGCAAGGCAATGGCCTCCAAGAGGGCTAGACTGAGCCCTGCTTCTTCCCATCCTCCCCACCACAACCCCTCGGTCAGCCCGGCAGTCTATTTTCTGCACTTTCTGGAGGAAAAAGGTCCTTCTGGCTGATCTACCGAAAAGCTGCAAAATCTAGACTAGGGAGCAGCTCCCTTCAAGAACCAATTCACCAGCAGCTGTCTCTGCCCTCAGCATAATCCAACGCCCTGAGCAGTTGGAAAGGGCAGCTGGGAACACCCTGCTACCTCCACCCGGGTCTGGTCTCCAAGCATACAGCAAGCTTGGCTTGGATATTCATTCACCGGGGGGGGGGGGAGGCAGACCACCAAGATACAGGGCCAGCAAGCAAGTCTGGGCTGCAGTAATCTGGCTGGCTTACTTTTCGGGCAGAGCTGTCAAAGGACGACTGCAGGGATTTGCTTCCTTCTGCCACCACTCCCGATGGTGCCCTTGAGCAGCGTAAGGGAGCCCCCCAAGCATGGGTCCAGCACTGTTTCCCCTACAGTATTTCTCAATCCTTGCAATGGCTCTCAGCGTTTTGCTCGCCGCTTCTCCAATTCCTCTCGCACTCGTTGCCGAAGGGCTTCGTGCAAAGCTGGCTCCAGCTCATTCTGGGCACTGACCTTCTCCACCACTTCTTCGGGGTCATTATCCTGTACCAAGAAGGAAAAGATGATACGCTGTAAGTGCCCAACATCTCTCTCACCCTGCTCAAGATGACAAAGCGTGCGCAGAAAATGCTCCTAAGCAGCTCTTTTGGGATCATACAGGACACTTTCATAAAGCTTCTAGACACTGGTGTCAAACTCAATCGCGTCACGTGACGTATATCGCATCACGTGACATATTGCAACATTTTTTGCCTTTGCGGAGCCGGGGTGGCGTGCTTGCATGTGACGCGTGGGCCGCCAGTGTTTGACACCCTTGCTCTAGGAGCTTAATACATACTTTTCAGTCTTTTTAGAAGTAAACAGTGAAAATGGATGGTTTTGTTAACAAACCCCACTGGTATAAATTTCAGGTTGTGTTGGTCACAAAAAGGGGGATACAATTCATTTGCTTTACTGCCAGTTTGCTGTTTTTAAAAGTAAGAATTTAAAAAGCAAAAAAACCAAATATAGCAGTAGAATAATAAATGCTTGATGAACAGTAAAAAAACCCATTTACTGTCAGGAAATATATACACAGCAGCCATGGAGCTAAATAAATCAGTTTTGTCCAAATGTTTCTTAAAACAACCAGTTCTTAGCTAAGAGTCTGAAAATTGCCATTTTTAAAATGACTCTACTCCCAAGAGGCAGACAGATGTTCAGCAATGATGTCAAACCAGATGCATGAGGTACATGCAACGGAAGCTGGTTCCAAACTCTTGATGGCTGAAACGACACAGCAAAAGTATTACACACTTCCTTTAAAAATCAAAAGGCACATGGCAGTGTCCTTTAAAAGGGAAAGTAGTGTTTTAATGCTCCTCTTAAAATGTAGTAAGGGCTTGCTAAATCCCCAATGGCCAGTCTTCCATGTCAAACGTATGCAGAAGCCCACAGAAGCAGCCAGTCTGAGAACTGGGAGTACAACCCTATATAAGTCTCTTGAATGTGCAACATTTTTTCACCATCATGAATGAAATCCTGAATTTGATTTGGAAGACTGGGCATGCGGAACCCCAGGAGTTCCACATTATCACATTGCTGCTGTGTTCAAAGGCTGCCCCACAATTGTACCACCATAATCCTGCCTTAATGTGACTCTCGAAAGCCACAGTTCCACCCTGAGTTGCAAATATTCTCTTCTATCCATCATGTCAGTGCTCTTGCAAGTTGCACATTGACCACTAAACTAGACGGGGGCCAAGAAAACATCCTTTATATTTAACTGTTTAATCGTTTAATATTACCCATTTTTGCAAAACATACTTGAATAGTATGCCCATAATGCCACTGAGGATAGGAGTGTTCCAGACAATGCAGCCTTGAAAACACAAAGTGGCTATGAAAATAAAAATTTAATTCGTGTTCTGCTACTGAGTTCTCCGAGTTTTGCCAAGAGAGTAGCCTTTCCATCATTCAAGCTATTTGCTTTTTAGCACAATTAGAAGCAATAACGGTGCAATAAAATGATCAAAAACCAACCGGACTTGAAAAGAGACCTGCTTGTTCTAAATTAGATAGCGGGGCCACCCCCCCCCCCAAGGGAAACATTCTCCCACCAGCCCATCCGACGGGCCCGGTCATCGCACCGAAGGGTAGACACAAGCGGGCAATTTTGCAGCATCCCCGGAAGAGCAGGAGGAGGAGGAGGCCGGGGCAGGCCCGGAGCGCTTCGGGCCCGGCCATTCGAGAGGACCCGGGCAGCGCCGAAGCCGCAGCGCCTGCGCGACCGGCCCGCCGCCTACCTGGTGGACCACCACCGAGGTGACCTGCCCGCCGTCGGCCTCGTACTCCAGGCAGAAGAGCGCCGGGCCGCGGGGGCGCCGCTCGCGGCTGCTGGAGCTGCTCTCGCTGGACGCCTCCGACTCGCCGCCGCCGCCGCCGCCGCCTCCGCCCGGGGGGGCCCCGGCTGCACCTGCAAGGCAGAGAGGGCGCCAGGGGGGGCTCGGGGGGCGCCCCCTCCCTCCCTCCCTCCCTCCCTCCCTCCGGAGGGGCCGGGGAGGAGGGGGCCACTCACTCCTGCGGCCGGCGCGGTAGACCTGCTGGTCGGGCCTGCGGGGCCGGGCGGGCGCGGGGGTGAGCCTCCGCCGCAGCTGCTCCTTGGCCTGCTTCACCTGGCGGTCGTAGTCGTCCCTGCGCGGAAGGGAAGGGCCGGTGGGCGCAGCCCGGGGGCTTCGAGGGGGCCGCCGAGCCCCTCCCCCCGCGGCGGGAGCCCCTCCCCGTCCCGCCCGGCCCCTCCCCCCCCCCCCCCGAGCCCCACCTGGCGATCTGGTTGCGCCGGATGTGCCGCACGAAGCCGTGGCTCAGGTCCAGGCGGCCGCCCGGGGGGCCGCGCCCCGCGTCCATCGGCGCCGCTCCCGACCGCCCCTCCGCCCCCCGCGCCTGCAAGGCCGGGCCCACGTGGGGAGGGGGCGGGACGGGCTCGGCCGGGGCTGCAACCCCGCCACCCGCCAGCGGGGGCGCGCGGGGCTCCCTCGTGACGGCATAACGGCGCGCCGCGCGGCTCTCGGTACGCGCCACCCGCCTCGGCGCCCGCGGAGATGGCGGCGCGCGTCAAGCGGGAGCCTCGCAGCCCGCAGCCGTGGTCGGGCTTCCCGATGGGCGCGCCTCGCGGAACGGCCGGCTGGGGGCGGGTGAAGCGGGAGCCCGCCGAGGAGATCGCGGTCAAGCAGGAGCCCGAGGAGGAGGAGGAGGAGGCGGAGGGCGGCGACACGGAGCCCACAGGTGCGAGCACGGAGGGAGGTCGCGCCGGCCCCGCCGGCTTCCCCTTCAGGCCGCGATTCTCCTGCCCGGGAGCGCCGCTGAGCTCGCGCGAGACCTCCCCGCCGTCTGGCGGCGATCCGGTCCTGGTGGTCCCAGCAAGGAGAAAGTTCCCCGCAGCTGAAGCAGCCCTGAGCCCCGCGTGGTTTCCCCTCCTGCTGCACCTTCGTAGTTTCCACGGAGAAAGGCTGGGCAAAAAGCCCGTTTGCCTGTTCTTGGCCCGCTGCCCTTTGCAGTCTCCCTTCAGGGGGTCTGTGTGGAGGATCTGGGCCGACCTCTCCAGGAAGGGGTGCCACGGAGAGATCCTAGGCCCCTGGAAACCGGCAGTTCTAGCCCACCAGGCATTCTGGTAGTTGGAACCGTACTGTATCCATTGCCGGTGTATCTACAGAGTCTCTTATTTGTTTTATGGAATTTCTTAAAACTTACTCGAACTTTAATCTGCAGCTTATATTACTTTGCAAAGAGGAAAAAGCTAGTTTAAAAAAAATCAGTATATCAATATGAGTTGTCCTGTTGGGGAGATGGCAACATAAACATTTAACAAATGAAAATAAACAATTCCACTAAGGACATTAGATTCCAGCAACTTGCTATCTAACATATTTATTTCAATCTTCATACTAAAGGTTTCTGATTTATTTCCCTTTTTCAGTAAAGTATGGTCGATTTGATCCAGAAGATCGCCGGAGCAGGCATTGTCCATACCTGGACACCATAAACAAGTCAGTGTCAAAATGAAACTGTATGTCTGTGTGGTGGGGGGAATCAGAGAATGAATAATTGTAGAAAAAAGTGAGTCAATGCAGAGACTGAACAAACACATTAGGAGACTGTAGGACAGTCAGTTGATCCTTGGTGTCCCATCTGAAGCCTTTTTGGCAAGAGGATCCCTTAGAAAACAATTCCTGGGAAGGACTGGGAAGCACCTGATGCATGATCAAAAAAAACATTCCTGGGTTCTCCCCCCCCCCCTCCAGTGGAATCCCTGGGACGTTCCCTTTTCTGTGACAGAGCCTCCTCAGAAAATGAGGGAAACACCTTTGGTTTGCTCCACCCCCACGCCCAGTATTTGCAGTTAGTTGCCTGTGGTTCCCCCCCCCCTTTCCCTTCCTCCTCGCTGGCCTGTTGCTCCAGAACTGGGGAGAGGCTCTCTTTGCCAGAGAGCAGATCCTAAGAACGCTGTGGCAGCCTCCTGCATGGAACGCCCGTTCTGAGACGTTCTGCCTTCATCCAGGAAGTCTCTGCTGCTGGGCTGATACCAGAGGCTGGGTGTTTTATTTCCACCTTCCCAGATTTCAGAAAATCAAATGCTTGTGTAAATGGAAACAACTTCTTCTCTTAAGAGTATGTTTCTAGTGAACAAAGGTCCCTTTCTTATACAGAAACAAAGAATCTGAAGTAGGCAAGAGTCCTTGAGAGTGGCACAAATTTAAAGTATACCAGGATTATATATGGAACCTAATACTTAATATTATTTCCAGGTTATGTTTTAAGAAAAAAGGTCCTTGGGAGAAAAATCGCTAGTTTTTGTCTCACAGCTTTAAATCTTTCCTCCTAAGTCTTTAGCAGAAAAACATTGTTTTACTGTATGAAATAATGAGACAGGAAGGGTCATCCCTTATTTAAAAGTAGTGGACCCGCCACAATGAGGTGTTGGTAGGGGGGTCCTCTGCATCTACTATCGGGTTCCAGAGTTTCCCTATAATGCATTACTGGGATGATATTGATAGTTGTGTGTTGTTAAGAATTCATCTTGTATCACTGCAGGAGCGTCCTGGATTTTGACTTTGAGAAGCTGTGTTCAATCTCACTCTCACATATCAATGTCTATGCTTGTTTGGTGTGTGGGAAATATTTCCAGGGTAAGCCTGATTCAGCCCCTTCTACCTCTTTTTTGATAGTTGACATAGGAATATGCATGTGATTCTTGATCAACCTAGTAGAATCTTTTTGTGCATAATACCTGGGAGGAGGGGTCTTGCCTCATCTTGATGAGCTTAATCTTGAGCAGGTATTACAGCTGATCTCTGACTTGGTATGTGTGAATGAGAGATCAGCACTTGAAATGCAGCCTCTCCCATCCTTTCCCATAAGGGTTGACAGGTCATAATGTTGTGGGGCTATCAGCAGCAATTGATACCCCCTCCAACACGTGACTCCCTCCCTCCCTTCCTGCTTGTAGTGCACATAGTATGCAGTTCTTGCTCATGGGGCTGCTCTGCCTTCTGTCTTCCCCACAGGCCGTGGCTTGAAGTCCCATGCTTACATTCACAGTGTCCAGTTCAGTCATCACGTGTTCCTCAACCTTCACACCTTGAAGTTTTATTGCCTGCCGGACAACTATGAGATCATTGACTCTTCTCTTGAGGACATCACTGTAGGTGGCTTTTTGGTGGAGGGAGAGGGGAGAGGTGGGACGCCCAGCTCAGCCCAACTCATAATACTTAAAATGTTCCCTCTCAGACTTTCTCCCCACCATCTGTTGCTACGGAAGTGCAGCAGAGGGGAGGTTTTTAATCACCCTCCAAATCTAGTGCTTATGTCCAGGATTGTAATGCTGTATTTCTATGTTATAAGATGTAAACAAGTCGGTTATAGCCATCCTTTCAGCTTGCTTTCTTTCTTTCTTTCTTTCTTTCTTTCTTTCTTTCTTTCTTTCTTTCTTTCTTTCTTTCTTTCTTTCTTTCTTTCTTTCTCTTTCTTTCTTTCTTTCTTTCTTTCTTTCTTTGTTCAGTTGAACCTGCAAATGTCTTTTTCCTGTCCAAATTCATTCACAGAGAAAGCAATAGTCCTCCAGTTACAACCATTTGTTCAGCGACTCTTTGAAGTTATGAATGGCACTGAACAAAGTCCCTCCCCTCAGCCTTTGCCCCCACACCCACTGCAGGTTCCTCCCTCCGCTTGCTTGCACCCATGGATGCCCCCTGGGCCTTCCTGCTCTTGCCCCCCACTCGCCCACCCCCCCCTTTCTCCAGCCTCCCTGGGCTCTCGTGCACACCTTCACCCTCCCTGCTTTCCCCTTTCCCTGGCTACGTGCCAAGCTCAGGCCACGCTGCAGCACCCACAAACTTGCATGTGGGCTGTGCGGGGCCTTCCCTGCCCGCCTGTCCTCACCCGAATTCCCCCTGCTTCCCTCTTTGGGTTAGGAGGACAATGTGGGCTGCCTGGCCCCAGTCCCAGTTGCCATCATAACCTGTAATAATGCTGCATTTATATGAATTATTAAGCTTAATTTATTTATATCTTGATTGACCCTCTAAAAGCTTGAAGCGGAGAGCTTCTTGCCGGACCAAACTGACTGGTCTCTCGGGATGGCCTGGCTAAAGTTCCCAGCGGAACGTCTCCTCTCTTGCTTATTCTCTCCCGTTTTCCAGTATGTACTGAAGCCAACCTTCGCCAAGCAGCACATCACCAGTTTGGACAAGCAGGCTAAACTCTCACGCGCCTATGATGGCACCACATACCTGCCAGGCATCGTGGGATTGAATAATATCAAAGCCAACGACTACGCCAATGCAGTTCTCCAGGTACTGTGCCATCTGTGAAGTGGAGAAGAGTAGAGAAATCCACTGCAGCTTCCCCTAACCTTCACTAATATAATACAATACAGTACAGCACAATACAATGCAATACAATAACAGGTAGACCTTGTTTAGCAACCGCCTCATTTAATGACCATTCACAGTTAAGGCAGTGATGAAAAAGCAACTTTATGACCATTCCTTATATTTATGACCTTGACAGGTCTGGAAAACAAAGGAAAGCTGAAGGACGGTCATAAACACAGTTGTGGCTTCACTTAGTAACCACTTTGCTTAACAGAATAACAGAGTTGGAAGGGACCTTGGAGGTCATCTAGCCCAACCCCCTGCTCAGGCAGGAAACCCTACACCATTTCAGACAAATGGCTGTCCAGTCTCTTCTTAAAAACATCCAGTGATGGAGCCCCCACAACTTCTGGAGGCAAGCAATTCCACTGATTAATTTTTCTAACTGTCAGACAGGTTCTCCTTATTTCCAGGTTGCTTCTCTCCTTGATTAGTTTCCATCTGTTGCTTCTTATCCTGCCTTCAGGTGCTTTGGAGAATAAGTTGACCTCCACTTCTTTGTGGCAGCCCCTCAAATATTCATGTAGTCCTTCTTTTCACTAGACTAGACATACCCAATTCCTGCAACTGTTTTTCATAACAATCTTTGTTGCTCTTCTCTGCACTCTTTCAACAGTCTCAACATCTTTTTTATATCATGGTGACCAAAACTGGATGCAGTATTGCAAGTGTGGCCTTACCAAGGGTAACAACCAAATTGCTGGTCCCTGTTGCGGTTGCTAAACATCCACAGATATTTATTCTTACAATGAAAGACAGAAATAGTGATATCCTATACAAAAACTGCTTTGATGTTCAAGAATTGCATTGCTTTAATTTTGGTTTCTAACTTGAGAGCAACCAGTAGATATTTTGAAAGGGAGAAGCTGAACATTTAAGTAAGTAAGTAAGTGTGTGTTTTGCCACTGACTGTATTTATTTATTTGTTCAATTTATTTGCCGCACATCTCTCCGTGGGGCTACTCTGGACGGCTTGTGAGAATAAAAAGGAAGACAGTGAAAGAAGTGTAAAGAGAACGGAAGTAAAATAATAGAACTATAAAATAAACAGCGAAAAAGGAACACAATGCGCGCGCGCGCACACACACACACACACACACAGGTTGAGTGTGCAGGCCAAGCAGCAGAGCCAGGTTTTCAGGCTTCCTTGTTTCTTTGTGGATGTCGTGTAGGCGTTGTCAAATGTCCCTCCCCTGCGGAATTACTTCCTGGAGGAAGAGAATTACAGGCACATCAGGCGTCCTCCGGGGGACATCATGTTCCTGCTGGTTCAGAGGTTTGGAGAGCTGATGAGGAAGCTGTGGAACCCACGGAACTTCAAAGCTCACGTCTCCCCCCATGAGATGCTGCAGGCCGTGGTCCTGTGCAGTAAGAAGAACTTCCAGATCACCAAGCAAGGTAAGAGGCCGGAGGAATCCATGGTGGCTGTTCGGTGGAATCTTGGATCTGGCCATAGTGAGCACATAACCGCTAGGCATCCAAATGGAGAATGTTCACCATTTGGATCCCTAGATATATGGAGGGCAGCAAAGGGCTACTGAGGCTGTCAGTAAGGTGGGGACAACACTTCTCCATGCATGATCCCTTCTTGGGAAATTTTAAACCTGGAATGATCCACTTCAGGAGGAGGAGATCCTGCTTTAATCATGGAGCCCAGTATGAGGTGTTCCTTTCATTGCCTCCACCTTCTCTCTCTTTGTAGGTGATGGAGTTGACTTTCTTTCCTGGTTCCTGAATGCCTTGCACTCTGCTCTCGGGGGGACAAAGAAGAAGAAAAAGAGTAAGTGAAAGGTGTCGATGCCTCTTGTAAGTTGTGGAACCCTTTGTAAGACTACGTAAAGCGCCAGGGTTTTGAATCAATTCAGGGCTCTGATCAATTATTCTCTCTTATCCACTTGTGACCACCCGACATTACTTGACCTCTTCTTTTACGATGGCTGCAGACGGGCAGTTGCTGCAGATGCCTGCCAGGAGGACAGGCAGGCCAGAAGCAATGCAAGCCTCAGTTGCAGGTGCTCCTGTCTGTTTGCCTTCATTTTTTTTTTCTTTTTGGAGCTCCATCAATAAAAACCCTCTCATTTTTCTCTTCTTGTTTCTTTCACATTAGTGAACTACAAATTCTTCATATAGGAAAAAAAACGTTTAGGATACCTGTTCACTTGCTCCCTGGAAAAGGCTGCCTTATATGCCTTTTTACAGCCTTGGCTTTCTCAGCAGGAAGTAGTCCCTTCCCCCCCCCCACCCCACCCCCAGTCAGTTAGGCACTCTTTGGAGTCAGCAACTGTTCAAGGTGTTACCTTTTTGCATTTCACAGTTCAGCACACAGTCCCTCAGGACACACAGCTTCTCAGTCGTTCTTCTCTTGTCCTCCTGTTGAGCTCCCCCAGGCAAACGTTCTCTGAGAAGGGCACCTGAACTAAGTTACCCCATTGCATTGATCATGTTAATTATATTGATTTGAGGCTTCCGGTTTGATGTTTTAGTTGGAAACGTTATCTAAAACTGACATTATTGATATGAGAAAAATGTAACAAAGATGTTGATATTCATGGAATATAGGACTGTGAATAAATTGTATTCTCTTTTGTTCTCTCCCCTCTTGTTTGCAGCCATTGTAACCGATGTCTTCCAAGGCTCCATGCGGATATTCACCAAGAAATTGCCACACCCTGATCTGGTGAGTTGAGCGAACACGGGGAGAACATCTGAAGGGAAAAAGACGAACGCTTGCCTTTGCTAGGGCAGTTAAGTGAGGACCTCAGCTATCCACAGGCATTTTGGGAGCTGAATCCAGTGCTTGGGCACTTGACCACTAAGAGGCCCTTTGGCCGGTCCAGCCACCCCGCCCCACCACTTCAGGTCTCTGGGGCGGGGCCTGATGCCCTCCTCCTTTGCGTGTTGCTCTGCTTCAGCCTGCCGAAGAAAAGGAGCAGCTGCTCCGGAACGAGGAGTATCAAGAAAAAATGGTGGAGTCCACTTTCATGTACCTGACCCTGGATCTCCCCACCGCTCCCCTCTACAAGGATGAGAAGGAGCAGCTCATCATCCCACAAGTTCCCCTCTTCAACATACTGGCCAAGTTTAATGGAATAATGGAAAAGGTAACTCCTCTGCTTTGCCCTCTGTTGGATGAGTTACAGGCTCCCAGAGCCCCCCCCTGGGACGGAGCGCCTCCAGGACCGGCCTTTTTGGCCAGGCAGCCCCAGTTGGCTTAGTCCCACAAGCGCAGGCCTTCCCTGGAGTGGACGTCGCCAGTTTCCTTGGTTGGGTGGGTGGGAAGGGATGAGCCTCGTCCGCAGGGAGCAGGCCTTTTCCACGCAAGCAGGGGGACCAAGGCTCCTTTATCCAAAGGGCTTAAGTCTGCTGGAGAGTTAGAAGCTGTAGCGTATTGTTGGCAGCCAGCCCCCGAGGCTTGCTGGGCGTACATAAACTAAGGAAAATAGTTCCAGAGAAAGGGTGTCTAAGGTTGTGCTTTAACCAACGATGTCTTGGCTTCCCTGGGAAAGTGTAAAAAAAAAAAATTTTTTTTTGCCCCCCCCCCCCCCTTCAGGAATACAAGACTTACAAAGAGAACTTCCTGAAGCGCTTCCAGCTCACCAAGCTGCCCCCTTACCTTATTTTCTGTATCAAGAGGTTCACCAAGAACAACTTCTTTGTGGAAAAGAATCCCACCATTGTCAACTTTCCCATCACGTACGTATGACCTTCTCCAGAAGAAACAGCTCTGCCTTGGCCAATGGCAAAGGCCGATGTGGGGGTTTGAAAGGCCGGGGGGCCGCGAGACTCTGAGCCACGCAGATGAGTCCTTAGAGCAGCCATCGGCATCCCAGGTCGGTCCGATGGCCGAGAGGCATGAGAAGCGCCAGCAAGGTCTAGGTGCTTCCTGGGGACTTTGCAGTGCTGCTTTAGCCCAGCCTGCCTCTAGGAATTTCAGAGAGGAAATGGAATTTATTTCTGGGCCTTGGTCCTGCATTTTGTTGTAGCTGTGAGAAATCACAAACACCAAAGAGCTTTTGTGAGCCATGATGGAAGGCTCAGTGGCAGGGAGATTCATGTTGGCTTAGCGTCAGCATGTCAGAAGCGTTTTGCCCCCTGAAGCCAATTCCACTTCCCTGGAGAGCCGTAAGGAGATTTGAGTCCCTTTGTGAGCCTTTGCAGGGGGCGAGGGATCCGGCCCACAGAGCCTTGAGGGTGGCTTTTCTGCTGCAGGAACGTAGATCTCCGGGAATACCTCTCTGAGGAAGTGCAGGCAGTGCACAAGAACACCATCTACGATCTCGTCGCAAACATTGTGCATGATGGCAAACCTACTGAAGGAGCCTACCGGATTCATGTGTTGCATCACGTGAGTTTTTGGCTTCCCTGCCGGCCTTCAGCCCTGGGCGCTCGGGGGCCTCCCTCTTGTTCTTGAGGCCTCTGAGGCTTCGGGTGATGGCCTCTGACTTGGGTGGGACTCTTGCAGGGCACAGGCAAGTGGTATGAGCTGCAGGACCTGCAGGTGACCGATATCCTTCCCCAGATGATCACGCTGTCTGAGGCTTACATCCAGGTGAGTGCTTGGTGTTTCTTCTGCTGCCCACTGAAAGCCACGGGACTAGGAGGGAGCATTCTTCTTAATATGAGTTTACTTTATTTCGGTAGATCTGGAAAAGGAGAGACAGCCAAGAAGAGAGCCACCAACAAGGAACGTGAACTGTGTGTGGAACAGGCCCAGCTAGAGGCTGGAACATTGCTGCAAAGGCCGGTTGCCTGGGTCGCTTGGGGAAGCCTCTCCTGGTCTTCAGCTTTCTTTCTGCGTCAGGGGACGTCCTTGCCGGCACTTTGGTCCGGATGCAGCACCAGCCTGTGGCTCGTCTCCGCTTCTCTGGGCCCCCGACTCCCAAGCCTGTTTCATCCTTCGCTTGGAGAAGACCTTGCAGAGAGACGGGCGTTTCTGCTCCTCTCTGTGCATTAAACATGCATGCTTGTTTTTCCCCCTAACCCTGCTGTTTTCCTGCTCTCCTTCGCTCCCTCCTCCCAGGGAACATGGGATTCAAACAAGGCATCCCATGCACAACGGGTTTGTGTTAGACACTTCCACATTGTTTAGATGCTGCTTTTGGTTATAAGGGAACAAGCACTCAATGGGAATAGATTCTTGGAAGATACGCGGAAACGAAAAAAATCTAAACAGCAACATAATGAATTAGTTAACAATCTAAAAAGAACTCCATGTGTTCTTAATGACATTCACCCCCCCCCTCTCTCTCTCTCTCACACACACACACACACAGAGGGAGGGAGGGAAGGAGGGATTTTGAGAGAGAGAGAGATCAGGCATTGACAAGGGAAAATGAGAATCCTCAGATGGAGATGCGCAGGATGGATGACCTTTCAATGTCCCAGCTGCATTGCTGTCTGAGTGGCATCTGCTGTTGTCTTACAGCCAGGAGTAAGCTAAATTGCTTTGAAGACCTTGGCTTTCTGCCCAGAAATTCTGGAATATTACATAAACCTCTGAATCTGTCATCTGGCAGCAGTTCTGATGAAATCCCTCTTCCCCACCATCATGCCTGTACTGTACAACAACTGGTTTTCACACACAAAATGTCAACAAGATCAGAAAAGAAAAGAGATTCAGAAATCCTGCTGAGACTAAGAAGACCCTGATGCTCACAGGACGTCACCGGGCAGCCCTCTTCTCCGCCCGTCTCTTCGCCAGGGGAAGGAGGCCTCCAATTGTAAAACGTGACCCTCCTTGGCCTACCAGAAAAATAATGCACACCAACTGGAAGAGCCCCACTGGTTGCTTGTTATTCTGTGGGGCACAATTTAAGGGGATAGTGTTAATGTTTCCTCTTCTGAACAATTATCGGAAGGACTGTAACTTGAAGATGCCTTGAACAGTGAGGTCAGTGGGGAACCATACAAAGAGGCCAGCATTTTCTAAAGTTGATTTGACCAGCCCTTGGGGGGAGGAGATGGCTATAAATCAAATGATGTGTAATCATTCTCCTGCTTTCTAAGGGAAGGGGTGGGAGATGAGCAGATGCACAGTTCAGCCTTACATTGGGGCACCTTAGAGAGAAATTCAATTTTTATTACTAATAAATGTCTCTTGATTAGTTTCCAAGGTTCAGTAATCCCTTTTTCTTGACAATCTGATCAATGAGACCGTTCCTTGGCTGTGTGCTTGGATGTTCAGGGCTTGACAGTACTGAAGCACGAAGGCAGTACTTGTCTTGCAGTAGCTGTGCAATCCTAGAAAATGACACAGCTCCTTTAATGAGCCAGAGGGTGCTTGGCTCATAGTGCTGCATGTTCCAAATTGATTCCAAGCCACTGCATGGCCATACCATTTGCTTCCCTCTCCAAATGTTTCTAATAGCTTGGTCCTTAGGGTAAAAAAAGCCTCAAGAATTCTCGTGTGATAAAAGTAAGGCATGGACGGTCTTCAATCCCAGGATTTGTGTTGTACTGTATCACATCTATCTATAAATGCAAACTTAGCTTGTACAAGGAAAACACTTTGTCAGTGTGCTCTGGAGGTTAATTTTAATAGTTGAGAATATTTTCTTCATCAGCAGTCCAGGTGAGAGAAGCAGAGCTGTCCTGCCTTGAGCAGGACCCTCCTTGCTTGTTTACAACCATGCGTGATCCTGGCAATGCTGTATAGCCTAGAGGAGGATGGGAGAGTGAGAAATTAGATCCTGGCCCCAAACAAGGGATCCCCCTCCTTGTGAGCCCCTGCAACATTCTGGCATGAGCGGAGGAGGAGGAGGGTCATAGCTCCTAAGTTAATTAGAAATCCATCCTTTTGGGTTCACACTGGTTCCCGATTGTGTCCTCACTGAATCGCTGGGACTAAAACAGCCCCGCCGAGATGCTGGCTGTGCAGACTGGCCGCCTTTGAGGGACGCCTGAGGAGGAAGGCCCAGTCCTCACCTTGCATTGCTTGGCTGCACTCAGGCTGGAGCACCAGTAAGTGGGTCCCTGGGCACAGGGAGTGGCACTCGGCAAAAGCTGCTCCGCTCCGCAGGCACCCAGTTCCTGTGGAGGGACAAGACGAAACAGAGGCCCCGTTTGGGTAACTGGATAGGAGGACCGCCTCTTCTTCCCTCGTCACAAGAGGAAGGGGAAACTGCCTGACGCTCTCCTGAAATCCAGGTGTCCACACTACCCTTTCTTCTTAAACTGACCCATTTGCAGGCAGCTCTCTGCAAGTGGGTCAGTTCCGCTTCATTAATCTGGAGAAGCAGAAAAGAGAGCAGCAGCGCTCAGATTAAATGCCTGTTTCTTTTAAAACCTGGAAAAACGGGTCCCCGTAATAGCAATGCTTGCAAGATCCCCTTTAACTGGAACAGACGGGCCTTTATCCCTTTTCACGCTTGGCTTCTTTTTCCTCATGTTGAATCACAAAGAGGTCTTTCCAAAGATGTCCTTTGATTCTGCCCTTTTCCTCTGCCTTTGTTCCCCCAGTCCAGAATATGTGGCTTGGATTGTAAACACCTGCGACTTCCCGGGGCGCATGGCCTGTGTTTTGGCTCCAATTGCTCCACCTCTTAGGATTAGCCAGAATGGCACGCATCAGCTGGCTGTGCTTGAAAAGTTTCCAACCTCTTCCTACCTGGCAGGTAGCTTGGGAGTCCCAGGGCTTCATTAACAGTGCAGACAGCTTTGGCTGGTGCTGATGGATGAAGTGGTTGCACTGCAAAAGAAGAGTTGGGGTGGAGAGACCGAAACACACCTTCTGGGCCACTGGAATGCACATCCCCAAACCCACAACCTCAGCAGGGGGAGCGCAGGCGAAAGGGATAAGGACCAAGGCCAAAGAGTGGACCTCTCTGGATGGTCTGAATATTTTCCTGAATTTTTAAGAACTTTTCCAGAACATTGGAAGGTCTGCCATTGCTGAAGGTATTGAGGATCTGTGAAGGAAATACCTCTGAAATGACCCAACGGGCCATGGACTGTCTCGCTAGACATTAACATGACTGGTTTGGATTAAAATAAACACTGGAGACTTACTTGTCTGAGTGGGCAGGAGCTGGAGCAAATAAAGGGAGCTCACCCTGTCACAGGGCCCTCGGGTCTCGAACCCGGCTGTCAGCTTTCCAGCTGACAAGCTCAGCATCTTTAACCAACCAAGCCATCACACCCCCTATGTTTGTATTTGTATTGAATCTGTTAACTATTTAGGAATTTTTTTCCTAAGTCACATTTCTCAATTAACTACATTAAATGTGAATAAGATACACAAAGAGATTTCCTTGCAGACTGATAGATTTAAACCTTGCCCTGGTGAAGGTAGTACCCACATATGATATTTTGCTGAAATTCTTCCGTTTTGAAAATATTTTCAAAAACAGTATATTGTTGCAGTTCTGAAAATATTTTTGAAAAAGACGCAGCTATCATTAAAAATGGAGATTCTGGTTTTTATGCAGACCTAGTGACTAACACCAGAGTATTAGTGATTTGGGGACACCCTGCCTTAGTATAAACTAAGTCCCATGTGCCATTCAGTGTCCCATCACGTCTGCCGGTGTCAGAACTACGAGTAGTAGTATTCTGCTCTCCCAGGAAAGCTGGAATGCTTGGAGCACAGCCGCATCCCTGCCCCAGGAGCCTCACCTGAGGCCAGGAGGAAAAGGGACGGCTGCAGGCTGTGGACAAGGCTGCCTCCACGGCTCTCCTGGTGCGATTTGCTCTTAGAGACGCCTTCACTTGGTCACTGATCATGAGACACATCTGACATCCCTCGGCTGCAGCCGGCAACAGGATCTCTGCGGAGGAGAAGCACAAAGCGCTGCTGAAATCAGATGGGGGGAGGGGGCACCCCAAAGAAACCCTTTTCAGCCTCTGCTTTCCCTGGAGGGGTATCGACTGCAGCAGCAAGTGCCCCGTTCTCCAAACTGTCTCCTGCGTGAGGGTTTTTCCGCAGGCGTTGCAGGCAAGCAGTATTTCTTCTCTGAAATACTCAGAGAAGCTGCTGTCTTCCAAAAACAGATTTCAGGGGAACAGACCCCAAAGTATGTCAGGATGATCTAGCCAAGGCCTCCTCATTTGGATATTGAGGACTGGCTTTGCTGGAGACCAGTGAATCTTTCTCGTGCCATTAAAATATTGACAGGTGTCTCCCTTTTGAACAACAGCCTTTCCTTGCTGGAGACACAGTGCGTGTCCGCCTCTCCTCCCACCCTGTCTTTGGCCACAGCCTCTTCTGCACTGGAGTTGGCCTATCCTCTTCCCCACGTGCCCGTTGCTTGTTGGTCCTCTGGTGTGTCATTACCTGGCCTGAGAAAAAGAGAAAAAGGAAGAGCCTCATAGGCACTTTTGTACCTGGACCACAGTTTTCCTCTGAGGCACACATGAACATCATTCCACAGATCAGGCGTGGGCCCAGCTTGCTCACAATTGTGTCCACAATGATCACCGTATATTTCTCCATCAGGCACTGGCAGATGCCAGCCACAGCCCCTGGCAGAATGTAGCAGAGTTTGGACATGGCTTTGCCTACAGCGGCCTGGGGAAAGACGGATACGTGAGCAGGGGGGTCAACAATCTCTCCCATCTCTCATTCAAGCAATCTGGTTGGGCTTAACTGAAAGCGTCTAAACTCTGTGAGAAAGAGATTCTGGAGATATTACCCAACTTCCTCACAGTGTTTGTTCATGGAACGAACAAAGTTTTATTCACAAAAGGTATGAATTACTTCCTGAGCTGCATAAATAGAATCCCAAAACAGAATTGCTGCCTGGCTTCTCCCAGCCCTCTTTAGTCTAGCCTGGTGGCTGAGGCAAGAGACTCTGAGTCCCCCCTTAGCCAAGAAAGTCGGCTGGATGATCTCGAGCCAGTCTCTCCCTCTCAGCCCAGCCCACCTCAGCAGGGTTGTTGTTGTGGGGAAAGTAGGAGGAGGGAGAAGGATTAGATGTAAAAATAATAAAGGCAGGATGTAAACAAACAAATAAAACGACTTCAGCTCTTGTCCACTGCAAGCAACTCACGGTGAGTTGTGCAAAGTACACTTCCTGTGATCTGCTCTGAATTTTCTTTGCATTAGGTCCCCCCACGTCCAACCGACTCAAGCTCAGCTGCTAAGAGGCAACAAGGCAGGATAAGAGAGCTGGAAGGGACCTTGTGGGTCATCTAGTCCAACCCCCTGCTCAGGCAGGAGGCCCTAGAGACCATTCCGGACAAATGGCCGCCCAGTCTCTTCCTGAAAACCTCCCGTTTCAGAGCAGGACAGTTGCTTTAGTTATACAGCGTCAGAGATGTGCAGGGTCAGGAGCAGCCTCAGTGGCTCTCTAGACCAAAAAGCAGATTCTACAAAGATGACCGCTTCCCTTAGCAAGGGACCACACAGCCCCAGTTTGACATGCCCTTACAAGGAGCCACCGGATCCATTCATGTCCGTAAGGACAGCATTTATGAACCCACCGCTTCAATTAGTCCCTTTCCAGGGACGCTCTCCCATACACACCCACCACCCCTTACGTGCTGCACGCTCCATCTCGCTCCCCTGGGGCTGAATTCTGCAGCCGAGCAGACCCCACGATGCCGTACCTTGGGGATGACAGACTCAGCCTTGCCAATAAACGTCCTGCACAACCAGCAGAGAGGCAGGGGGATGGGCAGCAGTTCCTGGGGGGACTCCTAGCAAAAGAAGAGCCTGTCACTCCCACGCCACATGGAGCCTTTGGCCGAGAGGTTTCGTGCGGGACCTTGACGGCTGCCCAGCCATTTTCCAGCAACAGCAGCAGCAGCAAAACCCGTCCCTGCCCAGTTCCTCACCACATGGACCCCATGGTGGAACCCAGATCCTCTCCTCCTGCCTGCTCTTCCTTCACTCACCTGCCTGGGGTGATCCACTGTGCCTCTCGGTCTTTGTAAAGGGTTTACACTGCTGAGAAAGGAGGGCCCCCACAAGCCCCCCCCCATGGAGCTGTGGGCACTCGGAAGCTGCCTTTACCTGCGTGTGGCCAGTGGGCAGGATGGGCGTCTGGCCTTGCAGCGGTGGAAGGAGCTGCTCTAGCCCTGTGAGCAGCTGCATCAAGCCATCCTTGCGTCCCAGAAGGTCAGCTGGACAGGCTCCCAACTGGGCACAAATGATGCTGGGGTCCTGATGGGGAGAAAGGGCATGACCTATGTAATGGGCAGCAGAGGCAGCTGGGTGGTTGGACCCTGAGTGGGAGCCTAGAGAAGGGACGGCTCAAGTGGCTGTCGGATGCTGCCCAGCCATTCTGGGAACTCCCAACCTAATCCGTACATAGCTTGAGATAAGCCATCCATCCTCCCCAGCCCAGAGACTGTTTTCCCTGTGAGATTGGAAGAAGAGGTTGTGATCAAGACATCTGCCCATTCATAGGAAGTAACCACTTACAAACTGTTCTTCCAGGCTGGCAATTAAACGGGCACAGTAGTCCTTTACCAAGGCTTGGCACTGTGGGATAAGTGTTTGAAGTGGCAAATTGGTACATTCTTGCTCTAAATACTTCTGGAGAGTTTCCTGTTGAGAGATGATTATATGAAGAGGATTGAGCAAGATGGGTTGGGACAACTTCAGCTGGGAGCTGCTCAAACCACTTGGCTCTGCCCACAGCTTCAAAGTTAGAAAAACTTTTACGCAATGGAATAGCAGAAGAACAACAGAGCTGGAAGGGAAGTCTTCTACTCCAATCTCCTGCTCAAGCAGGAGACTCTATACTATTCTAGACAAAGGGCTGTTCAACACCCATAACCTCTGGAGTCTGTGAGAAGTCGCCACGGCCAACTCATTGCCAGACAACTTGCCACAGCCAACTCGCTGTGGGACAAGAGCTACACTAATATCAAAGAAATAGTGGAATAGAATCATTAAAGAAAGGATGCAAAAGGAGGGACAGAATGAAACGTGAATTGCAAAAATTTATTTTTTTATTTTTTAAATAATTAAATAGAATTATTAAATTGTCCCACAGTAAGTTGTCCCACAGCGGGTTGGCTGTGGCAAGTTGTCCCATTCTGTAACTTCTGGAGGCAAGAAGAACAAATAAACTGCACATCTGAGTCTGGAAAAACGTAAGACGAACAGCAGGCCCTCAAATAATGTTCTTAGATTCTACCCAGAGAGCTGGTAAATGAATGAACTGCTTTGTCACCTTAAAGGCTGATTCCTTGGCCATGCGCACCAGGATGGAGATAAGCTGTTTGCAGTCTGCACACGTGTCCTTCTGGAAGAAAAGATCATTCACCCTCTGAGAACCTCTTCCGCAAAGCCTCCACTCACCCATCCCAAAGTATTTCCTCTTCTCTGGGCTTCAACATGTTGACTTCTGAGCCCTGGCAGTCAAGGAGTCCACAGATACCTTTATTCATTTGAGGTAGTCCAGTTAAGAACCACCAACATATAGTTATTGTAAGATTCCATTAACAGAATCTTTCAAGACGGAGAGTATCGCTGCCCTCCTCTCTTTTTAGTCTCTGGAAAACTAGGGAGGATCCCTTCAGAATGGGTCTCGTGCTTCCCCCCCCCCATCTCTGGACCCAGCTGCCTCGTATCACACCATGGCTGCAGATCTTCCTCCAGTCTCCCAGGGTCATTCCTACATATTGATGGCAACAGCAGAAGGAGGGAGGAGCTCTTTGATTAATGTTTTCAGTAACTAGACGTTTCTTAATGTTACTAGATGTCTTCGAAGTAACAAACAAGCTCACCACGAGGAATGTAAAGTCCGATAAGAACTGGTTCGAATTGCCAAGAGCAAGGAATCTCCTTTATTGTATATAGACTTGGACTGTAGTAACTTGGAAATTAATTATAATGTGGGAAATACGCCTCCTGAATATGAGGACGAGCCTTAACAAGATAATACTAAGAATATTAAGGGATACTATGAAATGTCACATGCTACCTACTAAAGCTATTGACCATTCATGCTACATCACAGACGGGTCAAATGATGTTATGCAATGAAAGAACTCATTACAAACCCAATCTCTTTGAACTGAATATAAAGCGATTCTCCCTCTTTTTAAGACTGCCCTCTTTCCTCTTTTGGGTGAAGTGACTCTCCTTGTTTACATAACAAACATGTTTTGTCTGCACCTGTCGGCTCAGGTGCCATTTGGGCAAAGGCCCACTGGGCTAGCAGGTCTGCTGATGTTTATGGCTAACAGTAACATCACAATACCTACATTGCTGATTCTGTTCCAGACACTCTCATTGCTGGCTTGATTCCACCCAGTCTGGACACAGTGATCCAAAGCACCACACTTGATAGCTGCCATTAAGTTGCTGCACCAGTACGCTGCCCCCTTGGCACATTCATTCTGGACCTTGCTGGTTAGGACTGGAAAGGGAAGGAGAAGGCCAGGTTGTTACTGATTGTCTTCAGTGAGGACAGAAAAAACAGAATGCATTAAAAACCATTTTAGCCTGCCCTTCTGTTCAGGGCAAATATATATTCTTTACATAACACTTCTCTAAAATAGGTTAAGTATAAAGATGTTGATTGGCTCAAGGTTGTCCAGTTCATTTCATAGGAGACTAAGCTATTACACTTTGAGTCATTTCCCACCGACATATAACATTTATTCATGTCGTTCTGCTGTGGCTTGCCAAAATAGCACTGCAGGTGGTCTTCAACATACGGCCAAAATTGGCACCAGGCTTTCCATTGCTAAGCATTACAGTCATAAAACATGACACCACGTGACCACATTGGTTAGCCAAGGCAATTCCAGGGGCCCCAGTTGCCACTGTGACTTCAGGCAGGGAGGCCATTAAGTGGGAAGTGAAGGGAGTCCCAGGTAAGGCGTGCAAGGATGCTGCAGGGGGGGAGGAGATCCCGAGAGTCCCTGCGCAGGCTGCGTGAATTGGTGAAGGTGCTGCATGTTTGTGTTCAGTTTGAAAGGGTCTATCATAACAACCAAATGTTTTTAAGGAAGCAAAGCTTTTGAAAAAAATTGTCGTATGTAATGTTCCCACTCAAGTTGTTTGCTCAGGTTAGCTCAGTATTTAAAATACAAATCAACTGGCAGGCCAAAAACACCAAGTTGACTTACGATTATTTATTTGACGTATATAAATGCAAATGCCAAAAAAACCATGTAATTCTAGGCTGCATCAACAGAGGAACAGTATCAAGATCACGTGAAGTACCACTATATACTGCTTTGGTAAAACCACACTTGGAGTACTGTGTCCAGTTCTGGTTACTATGATACAAAAAAGATGTTGAGACTCTAGAGGCAATGGTGGAAACTAATCAAGGAGAGAAGCAACCTAGAACTAAGGAGAAATTTCCTGACAGTTAGAACAATTAATCAATGGAACAACTTGCCTCCAGACATTGTCGGTGCTCCATCCCTGGAGGTTTTTAAGAAAAGATTGGACAGCCATTTGTCCAGATAGACTAGGCACACTAGAAGCATGCAAATTATTTTGAATGACACACACAAATTCTTCAGTGACTTTATAATCAGGATCCTCTCTCTGTCCTCTCTAACAGAGATCCCTTCATGATGGCCATTGATCCTTTAGCTAGTCTGAAAGCAAAGGTTTAACAATCTTATCGCACATGCGTAACTGAAATAGATCAAGAGCCTTTACAGGTATTTTGTCACTCGCGTATAATGGAGTAGTTTGCCATTCATTGTTTTCTTTGCAAATATAAAAGCCCGTAATAAAGACTTGGAGATTTGGTGGTGAGACCTGGAATCAAGGGTAAATTCTATTGACCTAGAGAACCTGATGGCTGCTGGGGAAAATGGTGAAGGCAAAACCTGGTGATGGAGAGGAGGCCGGAAGCAATGGGCTCAGGGGCCCCCTCTGCCTGTCTCCTGGCTGGCCTCTTGGGGTGTCTCAGAAGTCAGAAAATCATCCATCTGCTCTCCTGAATTAAGTCTTCTACTGAGGGGTCATGGATTAGAAAATGTTGGGGGTAATATAAAACAAACGTCACTTGCCCCACTGCCTCTCAATCTTTCATGAGGCCCAGCAGGATGTCCTGACTTATCGATTCCCCCCCTCCTATTGCTTTGTAAGTAACTCAAGGCCCGACCCCCCTTCCTCCTCCTCCTCCTCCTCCTCCAGTTTTCCCCACTTCAACAGCCCCTTTGAGGTGGTCGGGTGGAGATGGAGGGACGGCCCAAATGTCACCCGGGTGGCTTCTAACTAAGGGCTTCCTCAGGCCGAGGAGCCTTTCCCTCCATTTTGGGGTCTCTTACTAAGCAGCCTGCCCATATGGTGGCAGGCCGGTGGGGGGGCTATGGTGCTTCTCCCCACTCAATGCCCCACCGCCCACCCACCCCGTTACTTACCCAGGCCTCCAGAGAGCAGGCTGAGCAGGAGCAGGGGCCACATGGCGAGCTGTCCGGCATGCATGCCAGGGCTCGGACAGGGCCCTTTTATTCTTCACTGAGTGGGCAAAGGCAGCCAATGGAGAGGCTGATGGAGAAGCATCGCCTGCTTGGCACTTCCCAATTCTTTCCCAGCCCTGCACGACTCCCCCAGGAGGGCGGCTGCCAGGCCCTCAAGATTAGGCGTCTTCAGAGGACGTGGGTTTTGCAACTTGGGACGGGCGCTTCAGATGTGCCGTCCCCTGGCGCTCCCTTCCAGCCTCTGGGCTTCGACAGCAACGGAGCACATTCACCCCAATATCTTCAGGAAGTCCTAAGGAACCTGATGAGGGGAACTGGCAGGTGCTGGCCTGGCTCTCCCTCAGCCGAGCCCGGGCATGTCCTGGAGCGTGTTGCCCTTGTCTCTTCCCCATGTTGCGGTCTCCGGGTGTGACACACACGCACCTGGTCACTTAGTGCACGCGCCATGGCTCAGCTGGGACCCCTTGGTAGGAGACCCCTCCCTGGCCTTTCCACAGAACTGAAAACATGTATTGAAAACTATCACTGTTCCTCTATTTACATGTAATCAATGTTATTTATTAATGCAATTTTGTTAAAATAAATGTAATTTTAATACTCTATTCACTAAAATGTAGAAAAAATAATTTTCTGAAATCCTGCTGCAGTTTCTTTTGTGCCAGTATAGTGTATTCAATGAAAGTATTAGTTTTGGGAAGAACAATATCCCAGGAGTTCCTTTTTTGGATTCGCTAGCTGGAAATCTGACATTTGCTAGGGGAGTGAGGGGCTCCCAAGGCCCCTCCCGACCAAGAGGAGGAACGGCTGGACCTCCATTTTGTGGGTGGTCCACCTCGCAAAAGGTCCAGGCTGTCCAGTTGGGGGCCGAGGAGGATCTGCTCCCCTCTCAGGATGGCTTTTTGTGGCAGGATTGATTGCTTTTCGGTCAGGCGGGTGCGTTGGGCCTGGCCTCCCTCTTCATTAAGTAGTGAAGCAACTCTTAAAATGGGTTAGGTCCCCTTGAAGTGGGCTGATGCAGCTGAGCAAACAACTTCTGAATAGGCCAGCTCAAGGAGAGAGCGAGGAGAGGGTCCTCCTCGAGAGAAGTGGAGGCACTAGAGGAAGAGAGGCCTTTCTCCTCTCCTCACACCTAACTCTCTTCTTTACCTTCCAGATTTTTCTTTTCCAAAATAGAGATAATTAAGCAGTTCATGTGAAGCAAAAAGAAAAGCACAGACTTTACGCATAGGGATACTCCAGACACACACAACACAGGAGAAAATGCCAAGGGTGGGGAGAAATTGTGAGACAAAGGTTTAGTTTTTAAGTATTTAGTTACATCAATATACTTGCATTTAACTGAACAGGTGGTCTTCGGGTTGTGATGGCAATTGGGATTGTCGTTGTTAAGTGATACAATGACTACGTTGCTTAGCAATGACAATCCCAGTGGCTCTCATAATCCCATGACATGGGGGTTGTTAAAGGGGAAGTGATCCCGGCTAAGGAGTCTGAGGGTGCTCCGGGGGTGGTGGTGTTTGCCACAGGGAATCGGAGGCCCTGGGAGGTCGGGTGCAGCTGCACATTGAGTTGGGGGAGGCCGAGGCAGGGCTGGGGAGGCCCAGCATGGGCTACGCACAAGTGCAGGGAGGCCAAAAGTTGGGCGGCTCAGTGGGGCATGAGTGCAGGAAGGCCAGCGGAATTTATCAGAGTGACTTGTCACCTTTCCTGCTGGTCCCCACTAATTTTGCTTGTGGGAAGCCGGCAGGGAAGGTCACAAATGGAGATCATGTGAATGCAGGTCGCTGCACCCATCAGAAGTGCAAGCCGCTTGCCAAGCACCCGAATTGCAATCACGTGACTGCAGGGGCATTTCAGCAGCCAGGATCTGCCCTAAGTACCAGTTGCTTAGAGCTGACATAAATTAGATTGCTGAACAAGTGGTTGGTAACGAGGGCAACTGATTCATGCTTGTCAAAAAGTTGCAAAAGGTGATCACATGACTAATCAAATTGTTGTAAGTCGAGGACTATCTGTACTTTTATCATTTTTCCCTTTTTTTTGGTCATCAAGTTTTTGGCACCTTGCTAGACAACTGATGGTATTGGAATATTGCCATATCCTAAAAGTGGTACAATCGGTGAAAAGGTTGAAAAGCCCTGGTCTATGCCACCTTTTTCTAGCTTACCAAGGAGTAGGTTGTGGTCTATGTTATCAAATGCCTTTCTGAAATGTAAGCATACTATGTCCACAGCGTTTCACTGGTCTACTAATTTGGTCACTTTATCGAACAATGAAATAAGATTGGTTTGGCATCATCTGTTTTTGAGAAACCCGTGCTGGCTACCTGTTATAACTTTCCTTTGCTTCTAGTTGTTCGCAGATCTGTTTTTTGATTATCTTTTCCAGGATCTTCCCAGGTATTGATGTTAGACTGATTGGTCTGTAGTTTCCCGAGTCTGTTTTTTCCCCTTTTCCAATCCTCAGGTACTTCTCCGGTGCTCCAGGATTTTTGAAAGAGGTGGTGGAATGGTTCTGAGATAACATCTGCCAGCTCCTTCAGAACTCTGGGATGCCATCTGTCGGGTCCTCCTGCTTTATATTCGTCAAGGTCGAATAGGTGTTCCCTTACCATTTTCTTGCTTATTTTATTTTGTGTTTCTAGTATGTTTTTTGCGGTTATGTTTTTGGTGGGTTTGGCTATCATTTCTTTTTGTGAGGAGACTGATTGCCTGTTACTTCCTTGCCATCTTCTCTCTTTAGTGGACCGACTGTGTAATAAATAACGTGAACGTGATAAATAGGGACTTTCTCAGGAGCAGCCTCCACTCTTGGGACCAGCCGGGCTTTCGGAGGGCGCGTTAAAGGGCCTCGGATGACAGAAACGGCCCCTCGGAGAGGAACGAGCGGGCAGGAAACGCGCCGCTGACAGAAGGCCCCCCCCCGACACCCCCCCTCCCGGATCCCATTCGGAGCTCTCGCGAGACTCCCTGAAGTTGGCCTTGGAAACGCCGATCAAGCCAGAGTCGGGCACGTGATGGAGGAGGGGGGGCAGGGGGGGGCTCGCAGGAGAAACTCCGCCCAATCCGGCAGCCGCCTGGATCCAAACAACAGAAACCAGACCGAGGGCTGCTCGCGGCCCCGCCTCGATTGGCCGGCCGCGGCGGGGGCGGGGATAAAGGCGGCCAATGGCAGCGCGCGCGGGCGGTTGGAGCGGCGATGGTGGCCTGGGCGCTGAGCCGCGCCGTGCAGTGAGTCCCGGGCCGGGGGCGGCGGGGGCGCTGGCGGGGCTGGTCCCGGGCGGGGAAGGAGGAGGAGCGGCGGCTCCCGGGAAAACCGGCTCGCCCGCCCGCCCGCCCTCCGCGCCTCTGCCGGCCATGGTGCTGGGCGCCCTGAAGGCCGCGACGCTGCGCTGCGGGCGGCGGGCCTGGCTGGCTCTGCTGGCGGGCGCCTACCGAACCTGGCCGGCCTGCCTGACGCCGCCCTTCCGTTACAGGCTCCTGCTGGGGACGCTGTACCCGGCCTACGCCTCGTACAAGGCCGTGAGGAACAAGGACGTCCGGGAGTACGTGAGTGAGAGCCCGCGCGGGGGTGGCAGCCCCGGAGGAGCCCGCCGGGTCTCCGCGCCCCTTTTCCTCGGGGACCCGGGCGGGGCGGGGCGGGGGGGAGCGGTCCCTGCTGCCGGGGGCCAGCCCGACTCACCTCGCGGCTCCCCAGGTGCGGTGGATGATGTACTGGATCGTCTTCGCGCTCTTCATGGCCACGGAGACCGTCACGGACACCTTCTTTTCCTGGTGGGTCGCTTCTCGCAAGGCCGGACGAGGCGGAACAAGTCGAGGCTTTAGTGTAGCCTGACCCGGCTGCCAGCGCGTGCGCACGCACACACACACACACTTGCTGCGAAGGGCTGTGCAGCAGTTTGAATTCTACAGCAAAAAGTAGCACTTAAAGCTCCTCCCGCCCCCCCCCCCGTGCCCTCTCCCCATCCTTGACCATTAACCACCTCCTGCATTGGGGGGGGGCTTTGCCCCCCCCCCGTTTTCCCAACCAGTGGCTTGCCCTTTCTTCACATCTGTCTGTGACTCAGAATGATATATTAGTCTTCTGTTCTTCCTGTTTTGCTTGACCTACTGTCAGAACTAGTTGGCTGTAGCTGCCTATTCCATATTGTTTTTTACAGAAATCTTGTCGGTTCTAAGTATATCGTTCACCTCTTTATTTCATTACATTTGTTGCTCCCCTTTCACGGTTTTCCCAATTTATACTTGCAGTAAGCTTTTTGAGTAAATGAGACAGGAAGAAAATGTCAGCATGGTTTAAATAAGCCACAGTTGGTTGGGTTACCACCTTCTTAAATCCTAAACTGACATTTTACTGCTTAATGTAATGCAGCCAGTGAGTTTGCTGGGCAGAGCTTGTTCTGAGCATGCCTAGAGGAAAATTGGATCTAGCCCTCCTTGTTGGGAAGATTCAGTTGGGCGATGACCTTCACAGCCATCCCATCTGAGGGATGTTGTTTATCATCTTGCTCTGGCTTTTCTTGTTTGGGAGAGATCACTTGATTGGGCCAGAGTCAAAACAGCAGCTTTAATTGCTAGCTGATTGTTGCCAGGGGCAAAAGGCAGTCACATGATCGTAGGATGCTGCAACCAGTCATAAGCGTGAACCAGTTGCCAAGTGCCCGGATCACGATCACATGCCTGGGGGGGGGGAGGGAAGATTGCTGCGACTGCCAGGACTCCAAAGGCCAGTTGTAACTACCATTCATTCAGTGCCATCATAACTGGTCATTGAAGAAATGGTTGTAGGCAGAGAACTACCTACAATAATTGAAATGGCTCTGGACAGACAGACAGATCTGTTCTCGGGGCTAGCAAAGGAGTGCTGGGATTGCTTTTGTTCCCTGATCATCTCTGGGTTCGCTGGAAAGGCTTCTTCTAACCCTCCTTAGTTCTGAAAGTAGCCCTTTTGCCAGGATAGCCATTCCTGAAGTCAGCAATCTGTTGGGCACTGCTGGCTCCATGGGTATCTTTTTGGTTGCAGGTTTCCCTTCTACTATGAGATCAAAATGGCCTTTGTGGTATGGCTCCTGTCTCCTTACACAAAGGGGGCCAGCTTATTGTACCGCAAGTTTGTGCATCCTACACTGTCCAGCAAAGAAAAGGTAATGCTCTTCCTAGCCCAGCCACAGTTGTTGGCGAGTGGGCAGCAGGTGCCCATTGTCCTGTTCTCCCCCTTTTTCTCAATGAAAATAAAGCAGAGCATTTCCTGACTGCACCTTTGAAGGCTCTGAGCCTGCATGAAATTATGCCTATGCCAATTTAGAATGTGCTGCCTGCATTTCACCAAGGCAGAACAGAGCTGGAGGCGGCCTTTGGGAAATGGGTAGGCAGGCAGAAGATTGGGGTCTCTGTAGGGATCACACCGCTGGCACCGAAATAGCTGCCTCCTTGCCACCCATGGCAAGAAATGGGAGGGAGGGAGGGAAAGATAAACAGCTTTTTGGGTGCCAGACCTCCACTCCTTCCCCCCCCTTCTTTTCCTGCAATTGAGTGGCAGGAGCACTTCCTTATCCTGTGGCAGGAGATGCATGGGGACAACCTGGAGGGGATGTTTTTTTTGGGGTGCCCTTCCTCTGATTCTGTCAATTGTATGTGAATTCCTGCAGGAGATTGACCACTTCATCTGCCAAGCCAAAGAGCGTGGCTATGAGAGTCTTGTGAGCTTTGGGAAGAAGAGCATCAATGTGGCAGCCACAGCAGCTATCCAGGTGGCTGCAAAAGTAATCTCTGATGTTTCCTTTGCTCTAATCTCTTGGCGGGCCTGGTCTGGAGGCAAGCTTGGGCCTTGCGGAGCGAAGGGGAGGGGGGGGTACTGCCATTGGCATATTCCTTCCTGTAGTAGCAGGTTTCTCACCCCCCAAATCATCTTTGGTAACTAGGCGGTATTGGGCTGCTTTCCCCCTTAATTCTATGCCGTTTTCAGCTTGTACCACATGGGTAACTAATTTCCTTCCTCACCAACTACTTCCTCCTATGTTTCTTCTCTAGCTTATAAAGGCTTCTCACATAGGTACTTTGGGTTAAGTATCAGGAACTGTGTGCCGATCTTTCTCCTCTGAAATACTATTTCCCATTTCTGAGGTAACCCCTTCCTTAATTCCCAAATAAATCCCTTTAACTCTCTTGTCTCCCGGTTAGGGCCAGGGTGCCCTTGCAGGTCGTTTACGCAGCTTCAGTATGCAGGATTTGCGTTCCATCCCAGAGACAGCCATGGTGCATTATTCAGATCCCCTCTATCTGGAGGAACAGGAGCTATGCCGGCAACCGATTGGTAAGGAAACCTTCATTGTGGAGCAAGATACAAAACCATCGAGTGTTTTTAAAATCCTCCAAGGTTAGGTTCAGATGACTACCTTAACAGGGCATTCGGTCACTTTTGTAGTTCAGCATTTTGTGTCTTTTTTAAAAAAACGTTTTACTGATTTTCTAGTTTTACATTTAAGTATTTAAAGCAATGTGGCAACTGGGTTAATAATTCAATAACATACAAGTGTCTTTAGTACAAATCTCAAACTACCACATTAAATATTTCTTCTCTTTTTCTCTTAGTATTTACTGTCTCATGTTTAAGCTAATACAATTCTTATTATATCAATTAAGTAAAAATAACATTCTTACATTTATCAATAGTTTTTAGCTTATACATATCCTAATTGCTTTAACATTCAATCTTTATAGACAATGTCCTGTAATTAGTTTTTCCCAATTTTTAGTTTCCCATCAATATTTAAATTTAACTTTTAATATTTATAATTTCCAAGTTTTAGGTAACCAAAGTTTCCTTTACCACAATTCATCACAGAATCTAATATTCAAGATACATGTCCTATCTATTTGAATATATTCTATTTCTCACCATCTTACATCATCTAATTGATAATACAGTATAACATTACTTTCTATTAATTTCCAAATGTCTTAAATTTAATGACCAAAATTTCCCTTATTTCAGCATCAAATACTTCCTCTCCTTTTCTCTTAATATCTACTATCTCATATTTAAACTAATAGTTATTTTATCAACTACGTAAAGACATGTTTATTACATTTATCAATTTTTTTTAGCTTATATATATATATCTTAATTACTTTTACATTCAATCTTTATAGACAATCAATATCCTATTTATAGGAATAAGAAATCTTTTGGTCCCCAAATTTTAGAAACATATAAATCTAGTTAAAATAAGGTTATTCTTTCAGCATTTTAAACTCCCCTGGATAGTCAGTCGCCGGTGCTTTTAGAGGGTGGGATAGGATTTCCCTTCCCTCTCTCCACAGGGGGGAAAATACTTTGGGCAGCTTATACAGGTAAAAAAGATAATTAGGATTGAAGAGAGGTTCAGATCTCACCCAGTCTCATCCGCGCTGCTTTAGAAGTGCCTGGTGGTAAGTTTGACTTCGGCTGTCTGCAGCCTAGTGACGGGCCATATTTCTATGGCCGCTTTTTCATCCGCCAGTTTGGAGGGTTGCCCCGGATCAAGTGGAAGGGCTACCGCCCTCCTGCAATCAAGCGGGGATCCCCTCCTTGCTTGTTGCCCTTACAGGGTGACTTTCAACCCTTTCCAGGGTCCCCCAGTGGTGCGAAATCAAACGCGGAAGACGGAGCTCGCCTTCCAGCGTCCACGACGGCTGCAATGGCAAACCGGAAGTCCGCATTTTGTGTCTTAGTATCTTCTCTAGATCAAGTTAAACCATCCTATGGATGTTTGTTCAGGTATCACAGGTTATGCCACCAGTTTTACTGTGGGGCAATCCCTTTTGGGTGAACCCAGCCTATTGGAGCAAGTTTAGCTTAGTGGTTAAGACGCCAAGCTTGGAACCAGGAATCTGAGTTCTACTCCCGGCTTAGCCATGAAAAATCAGCTGGGTGACCCTGGGTCAGTCATACACTTTCAGCATACCTCATGGGGTAGTGATTGTTGGGAAAATAGGAGGAATGAGTTAGATATGTTATCCCCCCCTTGAGTTATTTACAAAAACAATAAAGGTGGGGTATAAAATAAATAAATCACTTGGTCAAATGTTATAGCCAGTTTGATGGTGTCTAAGGGCCATACATGCAATGCAGGATTAAGACTTCAGATGAGGGAGGGAATTCTTCTGCAATTGGAATCTTCCTGTACATTTGACATTTCTGCTGTGCATATCTTGAGATGATGTACACACCTGTTGTGCATAGCTTTCCAGTGAGCCCAATTGATTCGAATTCAGTCCTACCAAGACTGAGTGGCTGTGGATGTTGAGGTCCTCTAGGTCTGCATATCTTCCATCTTTACTCCTAGGTGGGATCATTTCTCCATTCAGGAGTGTGATACACAATCTGGGGATTTTCATTCCTTCAGCCCAGCCTGATTTTTGACGCGTCTTTGAGACTGAAGTATTTCTCCGAGTTCCTTAAAGTGGGGGGCAAACTCTGCACCAAGTGCTTTGCTTTTAATCAAGAACCCAACATAAGTTTTGTAGTTTCTTTTTCCAATCAAAAGGGATGAGATCTCAAATGTCAATCAAACCAGATTTTTAAAAAAATGTTCTCAACAGTTGGAAATGCTAGTTTGCGCATCTGTTCAGTCAATCTCAGCGAATCCTAATCTCAGTTTCATTCATTGGGGGGGGGGTGTCACACATTCCTTTGTCACAGTCCGGGGTGCCTGGCTCACTCTGGACAGACACCCAGAGGTTCACAGGTGGCGGCTTTCTGAGTCTTCCTTCGGCCTGTGTTTGCCCAGGGCGCAGGCCGGCAGCGCAGCAGCCGGGCTCCGACAGCGAGGAGCAGGAGGAGGACCGCTGGACAGACTCTGAAGTGTCTGCCCCCTCCAGGGGCCGCTGCAGGGACCCCGCCCTCCCGAAGCCCTTGGCCAGGAGCCAGAGCTTCCGGCAGGTGAAGAAGCGGCCGCCGGCTAAAGAGGTCAGGGGGCTCGGGGGAGGGGGGGGAGGGCAGGCGGCGGGGGAGCCCCTGGCTCGCTCCGGCCAGGAGAGGCGAGGCGAGGCGGGGGAAGTCCTGCCTCTGCCTCGCCCTCCCCAAACGCTGCTGGGCTCCTTCTTTTCGCAGACGTCTTCTCGGGGGCTCCGAACTCGTTCCCGGAAGCAGAGGCCGGACCAAGAGCCCTAGGCTCCTCCGGGGGCGCCAGCTCTTCCGAGGCTCCCCAGGGCCAGGGCAGCCCGGCCTGCGGAGTGCGGGCCGAGGAGGAGCCGTCGCACCGCTGCGGGCTGCCGGCGAGCCTCTCCTGACCCGGCGCTGCCTCCGCCGCCGCGTCTGCCCGGGCCGTTTGCGTGCCGTCCTCGCCCGGAGCCCCAAAGCGAGGCTTCCTCCGGGGCCGCCGCCCCTTTTAACGTCTTCCAATAAACGCCTTTTCCCGCCCGCGCCGCCTCCAGCCCGTCTCTTCCGAGGGGGGGGGGACGCCCGGGGGGGCGGGGCTTCCGCGCGGGCGACGCAACGGCCTCCGGGCGGCGGGATGGCGGCCGAGGAGCTGCGGGCGCTGCTCGGCGGGAAGGGCTGGCCGGTGCCGGAGGCGGGCGGCTCCGAGCCGGCGCGCCTGCGGGGCAACGTCTGCTACGTGGTGCTGGCGGTGCTGCTCAACGAGAAGGTCCGCGGAGGCCGCCCCCCGCCCGCCCCCCCGCGCGGCGCCCGCGGGCCGCCCATTGACGACCCCTTCTCTCTCCCCCTCCCCCCCCGGCGCCCGGGCGCAGAACGAGGTGCTGGTGATGCAGGAGGCCAAGCGCGAGTGCTACGGGAGCTGGTACCTGCCGGCCGGCCGGATGGAGCCCCGCGAGACGGTGGTGGAGGCCGTGCGGCGGGAGGTGCAGGAGGAGACGGGGCTGCAGTGCCGGCCGCTCACGCTGCTGGCGGTGGAGGAGCGCGGCCCCGCCTGGATCCGCTTCGTCTTCCTCGCCCGGCCCACCGGTGGGGGCGCCCGGCCCGGGGACGCGCGAGGGGGCGGGCTCGCCGGCTCCGCTGCAGGTCGCTCCCCTGGGGGCGGCGGGGGCGGCGTGGGAGGGGGCGATCCGCCGGCTGGAGCGAACGCACGAGCCGCCCCCCCCGACTGGCGGGGTGGGAGGTGTGCAGCCCCTGGGGGGGTTTTCAGTTGTTCCCAAGGGGAGGTTTTTCCCCCGGCCGGAGCCCTGGAAGGCGGCCTCTCCTTCGAGTCCGCGGGCTCCCAAAACGCTTCTCCGTTTGAGGGTTTTCCCCTCCGCAGCTGCATAAAGGTTGGCGCGCCTCCTCCCGCCGCAGCTCCCGCTTTGCTTCCCCGCCCTGGCCTCGACCTCCTGCCGCGACCGAGCGCGCCCCGGCCCTTGGATCGAGCCCGGCCGGGCGCGGCTCCCTAGCGCTGCTGTTCCTCTCTCTAGGCGGGACGCTGAAGAGGCCGCGGCAGGCGGACGCGGAGTCCCTGCAGGCGCTGTGGTGGGACCGGGAGAGCCCCGCCCTGCCGCTCCGCTCGCGGGACATCCTGCCCTTGATGGACCTGGCGCTGCAGTACCGCGCCAGCCCCCGCCACCCCCCCGTCCTGCCGCTGGAGCTGCCCTGCGCCTCGGTTTGCCAGAGGCTCCTGCTCGTCTTCACCGGCAGCGACGACTCCTTATGGGTGCTGCTGGAAACCACCGGGGCGCCGCACCTGCCCGTGGCGGTCAGCAGCCTGGCTCCCTCGAAGTCAGGCCAGAGGCTCCGGGCAGCCGTCCAGCCGCTGCTCCAGAAATGCACGGCCCGGCCTGAAGCGGCCGTCCGCCTCCAGGGCTTACTCGGCCTGCAGCACCTGGGCAAGGACCCGGGGCAAAGCGACGGCGTCTGCTTCAACGTGGTGGCCACAGTCGGCAGCGACGGCCCGCAGCAGCAACAGGAGGCGGCCCCACCGGCATTGCAGGAGCCGGCCTTCACCTGGTGGGAGGTGGAAGACGCAGCCCTGAAGAGCCAGGTGCTCCAAAGGCTTCGCACCGCTGCTTTTCTCCCCATTTACAGTTAGCTTCTCCCAGCCGAGGGCTGCGCCAGAAATGGAAGCCCCCCCGAGTTCTGGCTGGGATAGCAACGCCCCGAGGCCACCGGACGCAGAGCAGGTCTGGGATGCCTCTTTTCCAAATGATGCTATTCTACCCACCCCTGCTGAATGCAAGGTGGGCAGGGAAGACCAAGCAGTCCTGGCAGCCTTTGGTACATTTACAGCTATTAATACACAGCTGAATTAATAAATACATTTATTTCATTGTGGCTCTGCTGTGTTTCTTGAAGGAAGAATGTAAGATCGAAAAAGGTTCCCAGACATTCATTTATTAGAGCACAAGCCGTCTTTCCTCCAGGGGCTCAAACCGATGTTGCCACAGGCTCTGCTCAGCAAGTCTGGCAAAGGCAGGTTTCTCTGTTCCATCTTCATTTTGGGCCAAAGATCAGCTCGCTGCAGAGACCAAGGCAACATGCCAAGACAGAACAGCACCTCCAGACCTCCTTCCTCCAGCATATTTATAGACTAGGAGAACTTTGCAACAGTCCTAGGAATGAGATGGTAGGAGAGGCTTCCATTATCTCACCACAGCAAGCTCTGGGTACAAAAGGAAACCAGGGATCAAGTAGCCTGGCAGGATTAATCTTTAGACTGATGGAAGATATTGCAAAAAATAAGTCCTGGCACAGAACCTTCAGCTGAGTACACATGCCAAGAAAAGTGGGTGAGAAGAGGGTCACTTAGCTAGACAGCCCCACGGAGAGAACTACAGTACAGGCTCTGGACAGGAGCCTTCCTCTTTTGGCCTGGGCTGCATTTAGAGATGATCATGACTGAAATAAGAGTAGCAAACATAAATGGAGGCAAAGCTGTAGCAAGAGATTCCCAAATCCATGCACCACAGAAAACTCCTCTTTTACAAGGACCTCCATGATTTCATCCCAATGGCTAAAATAAGCTGAAAACAGCCCTATCTTGCTAGTATTTTTAGAAGATAAAATCCAGATGCTTTATCTGGATCTTTTTGTTCTTGGCAATAGGCAGTAGGCCAAGAAAAAGGACAAGGCTCTGGATGGCAAGCTGGGTCAGGCGCCAGAAGGCAGGCAGCCGGCCGCTGGCTCAACAAGGCCCCAGCATAATCAAGGGAGACGCATGCATTCCTCGGGAGGCCTGTGTCGCGGCTGCTGACGAAGCAACCAACTGCTTCTCATCCCAACGTCCCTCCTTATTTGAAGCCACTTTTATGCCAAGAACAAGGTGCTGCTGCTGCTTTTCTCTACACACAGGAAGTCAGCCAGGGTGTTGCTCTCAACTCCTGAAGGCCTCAAAGAGGCAGGGGAGCCAACGTGCCAGAGACCCAGACCTTTCAGCTGGGGGAAGGAGCGCACTGCTGACTCTGCCCAGGAGGGCCCTTGAGGGCAGACTTGACAAAGACGATGGCAGCCAGTTCTTTGCAGAATTCCTCCAGCACGATCACCCCCTCCAAGAGCATCTGGTGGCCAATCCTATAAAGAGATTGCATGCAAGACAAAAAAGGCAGTTTTCCTCCTCTTATCAGCTGCCTTTTCCTCCCCTGGCTGATTCTAGATAAGGCTTACAAAGGCCTCTGGGCAGGAGAGCAGGCTTAAGGCCCATCTGGTTATATCATTACTGCTCTTGCCTTTGCACTAGAGGCCTCAGGCAGGTCACTGCTGTTTGATCACAACTGCTGCCATCGAGATCAAAATAATAATCCCAGCTTCTCTGGGCCACAGTGGTTATAACGGTCTCTGTACAGCGTGCGGGAGGGGCAGCTTTGACTTGGGCACAATGCCATCAACTTCGGAAGTTGTGCAGGCAAGTGCCCGGAGGGGGCCTGAAAATGCTCCAGCCAAGCAAAAGCTGAGCTGTGACATGAACCAAAGGAAGAACCGCCCCGTCCTCTCTGCCCCACTTACGGGGGGTCATCTGGCACCAGCCCCATTAGCTTTTTCCGGACCAGCAGCAAGTTGGTGGAGAGGTCTGTGATCCGATGGGCTCTGTGCATCAGGCTGCTGATCACCTGGCAAGGGAGAAAGGGTAAAGAGGCTGGCAGAGGGAGCAGAGCTTCTTGGCTGCAGCAACAGCAGCCAGAGGGGACAGGGCTGGGCACCCCTTGAATCACCCGCGGAAGCTCACAGCACCCCGAGTTTCCCACCCTGGGCTTGGCACCAAGCCAAATGTTACCCTAATTAGCACCGAGAAGAGGGTCCTGCAGCCAGGGGCCAATGGGAGGTAGGGGTCCAGAAGGTACTCGTGGAGGTGAGGGTGAGGGAAGAGGGCCAAGCGAGACAGCACCGACGTCACCTGCAGATTCATTGCATAGGGCTGCCGTGGGGAAGAGGGAGAGGGAGGGAGGGAGGGAGGGAGGGAGGGAGAGAGAGAGAGAGAGAAATCCAGTGTTTCATTCACAATCTGCCACTGGTAGCAGGTTCCATCAACCGCCCACGAGAAAAGGGAGCAGAAGGAAGCTGCTGCCTGCGATACATGCCCCGTACAAGGGTTGCACTGCGCCATGTTCCTCAACTAGGAAAGGCAGGAGTACAGGCCTGGAGTGTCCCAGGACCCCTTGAAGCTACCTCCCTGCAACCAATGGGGGCCTCTTCCTGCCTTGCTGTCACTAGGGCACCCTCTCCCAGGCTGCTTCCCTCAGGATCCCACCTGGTGTAAGATCTGGGCCAGCCGATCAAAGAGCACCTGCAGGAAAGGACCCTCATAAAACCGGGGTCCCGCAGGGCTGCTCTTCTGGGGCAGCTGAGCCTCGGGCCACGTCCAGCACGCAACATTCGCACAGCATTCTTGAAACTGCAAGAAGACAGAATTGGTTTATTTGATGATATAATGGTTTATCTCTGGTGATAATGGTTTTGACTGAGATTGGATGATAATAGTTCTTCTGGAAATGTTTAATTGGGTGTCATTGATTAATTTGTAATGTTATCTTTTACAATGCTTAAATTTTTACTTGGGATTGGGTTTTGATTATTTGAAGAGAGAGATTGGAGGAATTTGCTTAAGCGGAAATGAGATATATTTAAGTATGTTTTTCTATTAACCCTTATTGGACTGGAGATGTTAATATTAACTACACTTGCTGGAGATGGGGAGGGAGAGTTTCTTCTTCTGGTTTTTAATTCATATAGTTTTATGGGGTTATGCATGTTTTAAAAAATTATATGTATATATGTAATAGTTCTGTATTAGGCTTCTGTATTATTATTGTTCAATTTTATTAACTCTTAATAAAATTATTGGGGGGGGAAACCTGGAATGACAATACACAGGTGAGTGTCGTCAGCATAACAAGTACACCTCACACCCAACAGGTAGCCTCTCCCAGAGGTTTCACGTAGACATAAAAAGGCACAGGGGGAAGACTGAGGCTGCAGCACCCCAAGTCAGCTAGACTAAAACATAACAAGAAACATACATGACAAGAGCTGCCTGCTAAGAAAGAGCAGAGCTGCTGTTGAGATTGTGCCTTACTGCCCAACCTCTGCAGGTCCTCCTCAGAAGGCAGAGGGACTGTGACTGCCATCAGGGGACACCCACCCTCCAAAAGCCAACCAAGACAAGCCCCACTTATATTTCTGTCTCCTGCCCAGGCCTGAAAGGATTTAGGAAGTTCATTTCCGCTAGAGCCCTCAGCTGGTAGAGCACACACCTCCTCCCTTTTTAAAAGGTTGCTGCACCATTTAAAAAAAAGGAACAGGTACAAGGAAGGGACCAGGAGACACAGCGCATTTCAGTCGTTGTTGAAAAGGACACCAAGTTCTAAGATGGTGGTGCCTGGATCGGCTGCATTGGCTCTTGAAGGTGAAACGTTTTGGGAGGGATATTAAGGGATATGGGCCACCTGATCAGGAAGGTTTTAATGTTTGAGCAACGTGGTGCAACTAAGGTGATATACGACATACGACCGACAATCTTTGCTGGCATGGTGAGTTTCTAGCTGTTTCAGAACCGTTGGTGAGACCGTTAAAAGTCGTTGGCGCTGTTTGAAATTGTTCTGCTGGCAGCAAGACCTGACTGCTGGCCCAGCGACGGATTCTATTGCAAATAAGGGCTGTTTCCAAAGGAGGCCGGGGAGGAGAGGTCCCGGGGCTTATGGAGCCAAGGAACTGGATGAGGCTGTCGGCAGGCCCAGAGGAAGGGAGAGAGGCTTTGGGGGGAGTTGATGCGGCGGCAGTGTTCTCCAGGGGCGAAAAGAAGCGAGGCCTCTTTAAGGAAAAGGTGGAAGAGACAGGATCAGAAAAAGGAAAGGAGGCGAGGTTGTCGTGCAGGAATACAAGCTAATTTGAGGGCTAATCCTCATGGAGCTCCGTTTCCATCTGTCCTGTTTGCCATCGTTCGCTCCCTGGAGACTAAAATGGAAGATCTGTAACTTGAGCTGGCCACGAGCAAGGAGTGTATATCGGAGGTGGTGACCCTTTGAGAGCTGTATGCAACGAAATTTCATTTTGATGTATGCCGATTGGTGTACTTTCAAAGTGACAATAAAGTTGTTGTTGTTATTATTATCATCATCGTTATAATTAACACTGGACCACTGGAGTTCAGAAAAACAAATCAACTGCTTATTTAGGATGCAGGATAGGAGGGTATCAAAGGACTCACCAGTACTTTAGCATCATGGACGTAAGTGTCATATCCCGCCTCCTCCAGACAAGCGGAGGTCTTCACCTCACTTGGTACTAGGCAAAGGAAGCTGGGTAAAAAAAAAAAACACGAAGAAGATGGTGGTCGGAGCTCTGCAGAACTGTGCTTTCTGCCTGGTCGCCCTTCATCCTTTCTGGCCAAGTAGAGAAGCCCATTTTGACCTGAGCTATGTTCCCACCATGCCCCGAAGGTGGCTTGCTTTGGGCTCCCTGTTCCCTGATCCCGCACCTCTGTTCATTTCCCCCTGGATAAAATCTCCAGGCTGAATGACAACCAAGCCGTGTGACACGCATGCCAGAGGTGCTTTGCCTTAGTCAGCTCTACAGAAGAGGCTGGGTTTTCTGCCTGCCTTCTGCCTTCAGTCCTTTTGGCTGCCAAGCAATTTGCAACTGCCCTCCTCAGAGTTGCTTGCAAAGCCCCAGGGAGTTGAGCCAGAGTTTGAGAAACACTGGCTTCGACAAATGGTTACAAAAGCTGATGGAGTTAGCAGAGATGGCTAAATTGACTGTTTTAATAAAAGAAAAGAATGTAAGTACTTTTGTTTCTACTTGGAGACCACTTCTGGACTTTGTGCTTGAGGTAGAAAAAAAAGGATACTATGATATTGGGTATTACTGATTAGACTGATTTGTTGATATAGAAATGGCTAGTTCAGTGGTAGCGAACCTACCGCATGGGTGCCAGAGGCAGCACTCAGAGCCCTCTCTGTGGGCATGCGCACTGTCGCCCCAGTCCTAGGCCTTCAGCTGGGTTTTATAAAACCTTTTCGCTTTAGGCCTCCGCCGCCGTGTGCAAAAAAAAAAAAAAGGTTCAATCAGTCAATTTCAACTTCTCGCGGGAAAAAAAAAGATCTTGCAAAGTTGGAATTGATTGATTGAACTTTTTAGTCCCACCCAGTCTGCCATTACCACCGCAGCGACACCCACCCAATGGACCACGCCCACCCAATTGGCCACACCCAGCCAATGGGCCACACCCACTGGCACTCGATGATGCATAAGTGGGTTTTGGGTTGCAGTTTGGGCACTCAGTCTCTAAAACGTTCGCCATCACTGGGCTAGTTCATACTATTATAGAAATGTAAAAAGTTGAGATTCGATCTTAATGACTTATTTTCCTGCAACAGAAGGAGTCGGAAGTCAACGCCTTTTGTTTCTTTCCCTCCCCTTCTCCACACTTTTTCATTTTCCTTTCCCCTACTGTTGTCCCTTACTATTTGCTTTTGTATTTTCATATTTTATGTTATAAATGAATAACTAAGATGATCCAAGGCCTGGAGACTAAAACATATAACGGCTCCAGGGCTTGGGTTTGGCTAGTGAAGTCTAAAGAAAAGAAGAAACGGGCGACATGATAGCAGTATTCCAATATCTGAGGGGCTGCCACAACTATTCAAACTATTCTCCAAAGCACCAGAGGGCAGGACAAGAAACAATGGTTGGAAACTGACCAAAGAGAGAAGCAACCTAGAATTAAGGAGAAACTTCCTAACAGTGAGGACAATTAACCAGTGGAACAGCTTTGCCTTCAGAAGTTGTGGGTGCTTCATCACTGGAAGTTTTTAAGAAGAGACTAGACGGTCACTTTTCTGAAATGGTATAGGTTCTTTTGCTTGAGCGGGGGGCTGGACTAGAAGACCTCCAAGGTGCTATTCTACCAGACATAGGTTAAGAACTACCTGTAGACCAAACTGGCTCTTTCACAAGCTTATGCATAATACACTCTTACACAACACCCGATGTTCATAGAGGCAGAGCCCCAAACTCGGTAACTTAGGCAGTGCATCTCAACCATCTTGTATATAGTGGTCTTGCATCTTCCTAACCCAAACAGGGATGCAAGCAACTGCTACTCCCTGCCGCTGCTCTACCGAAGCCGTACCTGCTGACTGCCTCCTTCACATCCACAGGCCCCGCTGGCTGGCCAGGCCCTTCCTTTGGAGCCAAGGTGGCTGGCTTGCTTGGCCTCTGGGGCTCGGCTGCTGGGAGCCCATCTGCAAAGTAAGGATCTTCTTCTAGGTCTCTGCAGAGATAGGAACAGGCCAGCCTTGACCATGTTTTCAAAGTTACAAGCTATACTTTCACTTAAATGAGCAAAAACACGATATTCAATGACAAAGACCAACTTCAATACTGCTGCCTCAGGAAAGGGGAACTGACAGGTAACATGTGCCGGTTTGTGAATCAGCCCTGGGATCCAGGCCCATCAGCTGCTGCTGGAGCACAAAGACGATGAGATCAGCCCAATCCAACAGGACCAAAGGAGGTCCTCCCTCCCCTTCTCTCCTCTTTCGCCCCTGCCCCACTGCCTTAAGACTGTAAGCGAGAGGGAAGGCTCTGCGCTTCTTGTGGGGAACTGTAAACAAATGCCAACACTGTATCACAGGAACCAAAAAATGATTTCAATCTATCAAAAACGGCTCATCTTAATAAAAAGTGTCAGCCTGGTGCTAAGAAGAGACTTTTCCTCATCACTTGCGAACGTAGAGGTCACCAAGGGCCATCTGCTCCTTCCCCAAGTCACTTACAGCCCCTCTTCACAAAACTCTTGTTCAGGGACGGCAAGATCTTCCTGACCAGGTGGACTTCTCAAGATGTAGCTGCGCTCCTCCAGATGGCACAGCACCAGGCTCTGCAAGATGCGCTGGTCAGGAAGCCAAAGCAGCTCCTCAAACAACCGTAGGGTGGCCATGCTGATCTGCAGCAAGGAGGAGAGTGTGAACACCTAGCTGTCTCCCCATGCCCTGCTACAGTTTAAGTCAACAGCAAGGTCTGGGGCACTGGGGGAAACTGGAGTCTAGAGTTAGGCCACAACTCCCCAAAGTTCCCAATTCTCAAGCAAAAAGCACAGTAGACTACGGTTAAGACCCCCCCACCCCCACCCCCAGAAGGGCTTCCATTTCCTTGCTGATCCTGGGAACTTTGAAGCTGCCACAGAACTCAAATGGAAAACTCAGCTCCCATTTCGAAGTATCAGGGCCTCAGTGAGGAGGAAAGGCTGCTCTGCAGGTGCTATCAGGTACCTGTGGCAGAGCTAATTCCAGGCATTCAAACTATCGACGGCTTACGCTGCAGTTCTTGCGGAAGGGACACAGGATTGGCAGGAGGCTCACCTCATCAGACGGATGGCTGCAGTTCTCAATCAGCCGTGAGCAGAGGCTGGGGCTCTGTGGCCGCCAGGCTGAATCGCTGGGCCTGACGGGATCCATTTCTGCTCCCAGCAGAAACCCAGCCAGCTGCTGGAGGAGGGCAGGAGCGTGAATCCGTCTCGCCAGGCCCGTCAGGATGGCCACTGAAAAGAGAATCCCAGAGTCTGACCTGCCAAGAAAGGACCCACTGAGCAAAAGAGGGCTGTGCTTCCCGTCAGAATCCCCTGGCGATGCGACACGTGCAGTCAAGGGTCCACTCAGCCCACACTCACATCTGCAAGAGTTGAGGCCGCAAGGTTTCCAGGAAGAGCCTCCGCCCCACAGTCGTGCTCAGGGCATCTCCGACAACCTGATGGGGTGCAAGGCCACCATTAGTCACTCCTCCCATTCCACCACACCCCAGCTAGGCGTCCCCTGCCTTGGGGCCACGGAAGAAGAGGAAAAGGGCACAGAGAGAAGAGGGGGAAAGGTTTCTTACGGGATGAGCCTGCTTCACGAGACGGTCACAAAAATCCAGCCAATCAAAGAAAGACTCTAGGGTGTGCTCTCCTGGGAAGGAGCTTTCCTCCACTGAGGCGTCACTCTGGAGCCTGCAAGTTCAAAAGAGAGGAGGCTCAACCCAGGGACACCTGATCACCCCGGCATCCTTGTGCTGCGAAGGGGAGAAGAGGAACCAAACTCAGAGAAATGGAGGACAGAAAGGGGTTTTCATACTCATGTTTGCCATGCTTGCCAATATATTCCTCCCTATAAGTGCATTTGTGTGGCTAACCCTGAGTCATTCTACTAAGGTATCTTTGCACTCCCTGTCTGATCTCAAACCACTACATTACACAATTGGTCCAAGTAGCCCTTCCTTCAAATCCAGGGCCCTCCTGCTTGGATTTGCAGCAGGGATAAGCTGCAAGAGGCAAACCGGAAAGACGGGAACACCTTGAGCGGGTGACAGTGTAATCTGTCTTCCAACGTAATGCTGCAGGTCTTTGTAAGCAGCATGAATCTACTTGTTATCCCGCCTCTTGAACAGGAAAAAACAAAAACCAATCGGGTCAGTTATTATTTAATGGAGCCACAGGTAGCCTTAAAGAAAGTGGGCACAACTAGCGTATATATAGGTAGTCCTCAACCTATGACAGCAATTGGCACCAGAATTTCTGTTGCTTAGCGATGCAGTCATAAAGTGCAAACACCTCACTTAGCAGCACCAATCCCTGCACTCCGGGTTGCTGTCATTAACTGAATTCCACACTCAGATGAGGCAACCTCTTGCCAGCTTCCCACAACCAGAGTCGGTGGGGAAACTGGCAGGAAGTTGCAAGTCCAAGGCAGGCCCAAAGGTAAGTGGTTGCTGCTGGGTTAGGGACAGAGCCAGGGGAGGCATCCCGAGGGCGAAGGGGGTAGGTAAGAGTGTGCAAGAGTCACAGGGAGGGTCAAGGAGAGTAGGCGACTGTGCAGCGAGGATCAGGGAAGGAATAGCTGAAAGGTGGGGCACAGGCTGGAGAGGGTGTGAGTGTGCAAGAGGTGCAACATGGGTCACGGAGGGTGCACAGGGTTAGACCAGGACGCAGCATGAATTGGGAAGGGTGTGCAAGGAGGTAAAAAGGGTGTCACACAGATCAGGCAGGAGCCAAGAGGATGCAAGGTGGTGCGAATTGGGGAGAAGGTGCGAAAGTGCAGGGTGGGTTGAGGAACGCACAGGGAGGGTTTGGGTCAGGGAGGATGTGTGGGGTGTACAAGAGGTGCGGTGAGAGGTTGGGAGGGCTGAGTGAGTAGCAGAAGTGTGAAAATCTCAGGGGCAGAGATTGTGGGCTCAACATGTCAACGGCCTTGTACCTGCATGGGACGGGTGGAAGCCTGGTAACATCGGCAGGCTTGATGGTAACAGGGATGGCCTTGTACAGAGAGCAGAGATAGTCGGGTAGCAGAAGGCACAGCATGCTGTCTTGGGCCAAGGCCTGGGCAGCGGTTGGATGGTCCACCCTGGTAAGAAGCAGTAGGTTCTCCTGGGCTTTTAGCACAACCTTCTTGTTCTGCAAGGAGGAAAAATAATACCGTTCCTGCCAAATGTCCCCCTCCTATACTCCGTGTGTGGAAGGAAAGAGTTAGGCAGAGACAAGCTCATCCCATCTGCTCTTCACGTGCCCCAGGGCTCTCAGCACCGGTTATGTCATACCTTGCTCTTACATAAGCCAATTAGAGCAGTCACCAAATTCAGCATGGAGGCAGCAGGGTCCCCGAGTGGTTTCTCTGGAATCAGCCCTCCACCCCGTTCTTCAGAGGAGGGCAGGGTCTGGCCAGAGGTCGTGCTTGGCTTGGCTGCCAATCCCAGGGAACCAACATTCTGGCCCTTGAAGGCAAAGAGGAGAGGAAGGAGAGTTCAGGCCAGATCAATTTCCATTGATAAATCAATATTGGTTCTAATTTTAGAACTCTTATAGCTGTTTTTATATTTAACTTTTTATCATTAGTAAGCCACTCAGAGCCGCCTTAGCAGTGAAATGAATGGCATATACATTTAATAAATAAATGAATACAAATGAGCGCAGCAAGATATATCATCCTGGTTTTGCAAGAATAATTGGACATAACAAACCCTCCAAACAAAAAGGACCAGTTCTATTTCCTAAGACAAATTATCCAGTAATCTTGAATCCCTACAACCAAAGGGGGGGGGGAATCAGGCAATTCGAGACAGAATGCATATGCTGAGAAAACATCTAGTTATTCCTGCACAGAAGAGTCAGGGAACACAAAAATCCAGTAAAAGTCTTTTCAGAACTTTCCAGAAAGCAGGCAGCAACAGTTAAACAGCCTTTCTAATCCCATTCTCAGTTGCACAGCTGTTATGCCCTCTGAAGTGCATCCTTTGGCGCTGCCTAAGGCTCCCGCTGCAGGAGCAGGAGGCGCTAAACGGGGGATCAGAAAGACAGGACAAGAGTGAGAAAGAAACAAATGATTTGCCTTGACTCCCTTTGGTATAAGAGCGAGCGAAGGAAGAGGAAATGCTGTCAGGCATTCTAAGTTCAGTTGTTACAACCTGTTTCAATAAAATACAATTCTAGTTATTTCTTGTGATGTTCGTTTCCTGACCCGGCCTAGCCTGGCAGGGCTACACACCGTGTGAAAAGGATCGGCACACCCAGCAATCCCTTACCTCTAGGATGTGTGGTAGCAGAGCAGGTTCCTGCCTGATTTTGGTACATAGAACAGCAACAAACTGCAGCGCTTCCTTCTCGAGCTCAGGGCCTAATGCATCCCCCTGAAGCTGAAGAAGTTTCTGCAAAAAGATTGAAAGGTGGGGCAAAATCAGCAAATACAGAGATGCTTTAGAAATATTTTAAACTGGACACATTTTCAAGTCACTAAGAAGTAGCTCCCTTGATAGAACGGTGCTTTCGCTTTATCTTCAAAATGGATGCAAATTGCTGAGCTCCTTAAAAAGGCCCTCACCTGAACAGGCCGGTAAACATTGAAGTAATGCAAGAGAGGGCTCTGCATCTGCCCCAGCAGGCGACTGAAAAAGAGAAGCACCTGTGACCTCATTCCTGGAGGATACTGTAGGAAGCAGAGAAACAAGGCTCAGATTAGGAAAAGTTCCTTAAAGCTTTCCATTAAAAATGTCCATCAAAGACTACATTACTTGACTATCTTGAATGCTAATGGAACACAGTGATAGTCTGAACATTAAACTGAAAAACAAGCATCAGGATGTAGGTACGGGTCAAGTACAATCTATTGCAGAATAATTGTTATCAGTCCTATGGTTCTGAAGTAATTTCTTGTCGGTTTCCTAATATATGATTTAGGGGCCATCTTGCACAAATGTGAATTGTAAGACCTGCTCCAACTTAAGACTTTTAAGAAAGACCTCAACTCCATTTGGCTGAAGTGATAGGCTCTGTTACTAAAGTTAAGTAGTTGCAGCGAAATTGAAGCTAGATCTGAGTATTCCCATGCAAAGCTTACACTTTTCCCCCCTTTCCCTGGCTGTCTCCTCTGACCAGTCCATCAGTGTCCAATAGTATGCCCTTTTGATGTTTTGGGAACCACTTTGATGCTTGGCACTGCTTGATATAGTTTCCAATTCTATTCCCAGGACAGGTGTCCTTGGCGGCCGGCTTATTCTAATTTAGCACCTCTGGTTCTTGTCAGCCTGTCTCTCCCCTCTCCATTTATCTTCCCATTCCCACGCCCTAACTTTACTTCCTAAATTCCTGTCCCCTCCTCACGTTTTATAGCAGGAAAGGGAACTCATCAAATTTGCAGACAACATCAAGCTGGCAGGAATAGACTGGCTTAAGATACAGAAGGATCTTGAACATTGGGCCTTATCTAACAAAATAAAATTCAATGGTGAAAAAAGTAAGGATCTACATTTGGGCAAGAAAAAATAGTATAGTATCGATGGTACCTGGCTCAATAGTAGTAACTGTGAGAGGGATCTTGGAGTCATTTAAATATGAGCCAGCAGTGTTCTGTTGCTGCCAAAAAAGCCAACACAGTGCTAGGCTGCATTAACAGAGGGATAGAATCAAGATCACGTGAAGTGTTAATACCACTTTACAATGCCTTGGTAAGGCCACACTTGGAATACTGCATCCAGTTTTGGTCACCACGATGTAAAAAAGATGTTGAGACTCTAGAAAGAATGTAGAGAAGAGCAACAAAGATAGTTAGGGGACTGGAGGCTAAAACAAGAACGGTTGCTGGAATTGGGTATTTTTAGTTTAATGAAAAGAAGGCTTAGGGGTGACATGATAGCAGTGTTCCAATATCTCAGGGGCTGCCACAAAGAAGAGGGGGTCAACCTGTTCTCCTAAGCAACTGAAGGCAGGACAAGAAGCAACGGATGGAAACTAATCAAGGAGAGAAACAACCTAGAACTAAGAAATTTCCTGACAGAACAATTAATCAGTGGAACAACTTGCATCCAGAAGTTGTGAATACTCCAACACTTAGTTTTTAAGAAGAGATTGGATAATCATTTGTCTGAAATGGTATAGCGTTTCCTGCCTGAGCAGGGGGTTGGACTAGACCTCCAAGGTTCCTTCCAACTCTGTTATTCATCTGACTCAAAGGATGCCAGTGAAACAAAGAAGCTGAAGATGGCAGACCTGACATTATCTTACTTTGATAAATGAAATTAGTACAAATAAGACTTTTTAAAGCAAATAGACAAAAATGCAAATAAAGCCACAGTAAAAGATTTATCTTCATGATTTATTTGGAAGAAGAATGACCTATATTTAGGTATAGAATCTCTAAAGAGAAATGAATTTGGAAATTATGCCAAAGAGGCCAGAATAAGAAAGGGGTATTTCCAATTAGGTAAAGGAGTGTCTGAGTTATGACTGGAAAAGTCCTCAGGAAAGACCTCGAACCCCCCAAATTGTGCCCCTGTCATTCCTGAGAAAAGGGAGGCACAAGAGGAACCACCTCTGCTTTCCCCAGAGTGCTGAGTGTCTCCAGGATTTTGTGTTGCAGCAAGTATTCCAGGCAGGGTCCCGTCTCCCCTTCCTGCTGTTGCTTCTCCTCGTAGACCAGGATGTCCAGCATCTGTTTTAAGCGCCAGGGAATGTCCGTCTGCTTCGCCGACTTGTTTTCATCTTGGGGAAAGACGGAACGTCAGCAGCAGCAGCAGCAGATTTGGCCGTTCTTAAAAATCACCGCTAACGGCTTTGCCCTCCGCCGCCAAATACTCGGCAGCAGAGCCCCTCGCCCCCCCCCCCGCCTTTCGGACCGCTAGGAAGTCGCAGGGCCGGAGCCAGAGCCTCCCACCTGGGGCCTCCAGGTAATGGTGGGTGACGCCCTTCCAGTGCTCCGTGAAGGCGGCCGGGAGATCGAGGCGCGGCTCCTCCTGCAGCGGGCGAGAAGGCCCCGTCAGGCGACCCCCGCCGCACCTCGCCNAGTCTTGTCCCCGTTGCCCGGCTGTCATGTCCTTGGCTGCGCTGCTCCGCGCGGGCCGCGCCCGGGGGCGACTCCCCGCCGGGGGGCTGCTGGTGAGGAGGGGGCCGCGGGGGGAGGCGGGGCCGCGCGGCTGGGCTCGGAGGCCCCTCGAGGGCCTGGACCGCGTCGAAGGAGCGGCCGGAAGCGCCTTTCCCCCCGCCCGCCCGCCCGCCCCTCGCTGCCCTTCGGGCACTGGGGCTATTCGCGTCCCGGCGGCCCCGGCGGCTTTGAACCGTTGGAAAGGAGGAAGACCACCGCGGGCGGGAAGAAGGGCCGACCGCCGCGCATCGTCCGGGGGAGGGGGGCTTTCTCGGGGGCGGCGGCGGCGGCGGCGGCCTTGTTTACTCCGAGGTATCCGGAGCAGCTGCGCAGAGAGCGGGGCAAGCAGCCTCGCTCGGAGGGGAGGCCGAGGCAGGCCCGTCCCTGCCCAGCCGCCCCATCCTCGAACGGTTTGGGGGTTTAAAGTGCGGTCCTGTGCAGAGCGCACTGTAGTAGTCCAGCCATGCTGTTCCCCTGCCTAAGGGCTCAGCCCCCCAGGTGGCTCCCAGGAGAACAGGCCAAGCATGTGGGGGTCTTGGGCGGTTTCAGGCCCCAGCAGGGGAGGTCGCAGCGCTTCCTCCCACGGCCCCGTCCTTAAGACGCTCCTGGGGGCCGCTTTACGAGGGTGAAAAGGTCAAGGGGACCCCACTCCATAGAGACCGACCCAGCCATCCCCCCCCCCATTCCTTCTAAGCTAATAATGTGACGAGTGAGAAACCAGACCACCCAGTTTGTCACTTCAACAGCACCACAGGGGTTGGTCTGGAAGCGGCAGGACTGAAGAGTAGCCCTGTCCAGTCTTGGTCCCCGTAGACCCAATGCAATGTCTCCCTCCCTCAAAGTCCAGCTCCCCCGCCAATTCTGCCACAATGGCCCTCTGTTACCTCCTCAGCCTCCACGTCCCTGGTAGCCAGCAGCTCTTATGCCGGATAGTAAGGTTTGTGCCCTGTAACATAATTGCTTGCCCTTGACAGGCACAATAAAGGCCTTTTTGTATCTGAAGTGAAGATTCAAGCACATGCTTAGATCCTAAAAACTGACAAAGATGTCACTCTCTCAACCCAGCTCTCCTCACAGTGTTGTGGGGGAAATGGCAGGAGGACAGAGTATTAGGAATGTACCGCCACCTTGAGTTACTTAGAAATTAATAAAGGCAGGATAAAAATCTAATAAATACATTTGGTGTGTCATTTTAGAGTATTAGTGAGAATTATGCTGTCAGCTACTGATCTTTATTCCTCCCAGTGTGATGGCAGTTTAAATTGATCAGGCCATTTATTTTAAATGCTTATAATGTGCCTCTTTTGAAACTATTTTGTGATGGTGAAGGTTCATTCTCCAAGCTGATGGGTTGTTTTCCCAGCGTTTCGTTACCAGGCTAGGTAACATCTTCAGCGGACTTTCCGCAACATTTGGAAAACAACCCACAAGCTCAGAGAATGAATCTTCACCCTTATCCTATACCCGAGCTACAGATATTCACCACTATTGCAGACTATTTTGTATTTGAAGACAGAAGTCTGGTGCCTATCTTTTATCATTCAGGGTGTCCAATCACTCTCACCTTTTATGGATTGTTATGTTCCTTCTGTTTATGTTTTTGATTAAACTATTATATTTAAACCTCTGCTTGATAGATAATTTCCCCCTCTCCAAAATGTCTGTGTGGAATATTGTAAATAATTCTATAGAACATAGATGTGTGTTTGACAGATATTCTCTCACCAGGGAAAGCTTCATGTCAGTTCCCACAGGAACCTTCAGTATGGCTGGACAGCGTATATATTGGGAGATAAAGCTAGTGCAAAGTTCACTGAATACAGCAAAGTCTTCACAGTGGATGGTAATCTGCATGCTGGCACAGCAAAACTTGCCCAACAAGTGGCAGAAATATTGGGTATGTAATGGGCCGTTGCATATATTGCTAAATTGGGCAATGTGGTCACTGAATATCAAGAATGTGGCGCTAGTATAAGAGATACAGATAAGAATGCTGCCAACAAAATGACACCTTCTTTAATTTCTTGTCTATTGTGTTAGCTTCGGGTCAGCTGCAAATGTCACTTTGAGGCAAGTTGTAGTTGTTATCCTTTGGTGACTAAGAGAGAGAAATTGCCTAAGGCTCCCAAGTAGCTCATGCAAGCCTCTTATATTTAGAATTGAGAAGAAAGAAAATTGTACTTGTGTGTGTGTGTGTATATGTATACATGTGTGTATATGTATACACACACATATACATACACACGGCTATTGTTTTCATAATGGAATAATAATTGCTTGTGCACATTGTCATTGAGTTGAGTGTGTGTGTGTGTGTGTGTATGTGAATGCAAGGACATAAATTCTACTTGTGTTTAGCTGATGCACAAATGTGTCACGATGAGTACAGGTAGAGCTCAACTTACGACCACAGTTGAGCCAAAAATGTCTTTTGTTAAGTGATTGTTAAGTGAATTTTGCTCAATTTTATGACCTGCCTTAACAAGTTGTCAAGTGAATCACTGCTGTTGTTGAATTAATAACACAGTTGTTAAGTGAATGTGACTTCCCCATTGACTTTGCTGGTCAAAAGTTTGCAAAAGGTGATCACGTGACCTGAGGACTCTGCGACCGTCATAAATATGAACCGGTTGCCCAGCACCTGAATTTTGATCACGTGACCCTGGGGGTGGTGCAACGGGCATAAGTGTGAAAATCAGCCATAAGTCACTTTTTTCAGTGATGTTGTAAGTTTGAACGATCACTAAATGAACTGTTATAAGTCGAGGACTATCCGTACTCTTTTCAGAAGAGGTTTTCCCTCCTCTCTTCAAAGAAGATAATTTCACCAGAATCTGGGAAGAATTTAATTTTCTGCATCAGAAAATATTCGGCCTTTTTAATGTTCTTTGCAGGTTTGCGATATTTCCCAGAAGCCAATATTCATTTGTTAGACAGTCTCACGGGAGATGGAAAAAAACTGGATTTAAAATATAACGGCAGTTGCTGTCTGGAGACATTTTACAATGAGCCTAAGCATCCAAATGGAAACTCCTACCGGCTTCAAGCTTGGATGTACTGTTCCCGCTTTCTACAGTATGCAGATGCTCTCAGCCATCTCTTGAGTACAGGTGATTAGCAACATTTTATTAACGTAAACAAGTGAAACAACAATTGGGATTGCTGCTGTGTACCAGCCTTCCTGCTGTGTAGCAATGTCACTGCCTGAGTGCCTCAATGGGTGGCCAGGTTGGTGATGGAGTTCTCCAAGCTCATGGTCCCAGGGGACTTCAACCTGCCTTCTCCGGGAAGGGGGTCAGAGGTTGCTCTGGAGTTCATGGCCACCATGACCATCACGAGACTGTCCCAGATCACCCAGATGCTGATCATCTGGTGATCATGGGTTTAGGGGAGATAGTATTTCTCCCCTATCATGGTCAGATCACTCCTTAGCAAGCTTGCGGTTCTCTGGAATTAAACCCCTGCTGTAGGGAGGCTAGACTGGTTAGGTTGGTCCACCTCAGGACTTGGAGGGTTTCAGAGGGAGCTTGCAGTTGGTCTGGGCATGGTCCTACCTGTGGACATGCTGCACGATCTGACGAAACTCTGGTGGCTACTTATGACTTTGAACTGGATTGCCCCTGAGCAGCCTCTCTGCAGCCGTGGATCCTGGAAGGCCTCCCGGTTTACAGAAGAGCAGAGGGAGATGAAGCAAGTGAACCGATGCCTAGAGCTCTGCTGGCAGACAACAAGGAGTGGACCAGTGCAGGCTAAAGCTGCTTTTAGAACCTGCCTCTTGATACTAAGAGAGGCAAAATATAATGCATCTCTGCACTCTTTCTTCATCCATAGATTACCATCTTACGCCTTCATTCGGGTAACCCAGACCATCTTAGGAAGAAGTAGTAGTTCTGGAGTTCAGCTGCATGGTTGTTGTGAGGAGTATGCTGGGCACCTGACAGATGAAATCACTTGGATTTGCTCTGCATTGGACTCCAGCCTTGAAGCAGGTTCAGTGGAGGCTGCCAGAGCTTGCATAGTTGTTTGTGGAGAGTTTAATGCTTTGGGGGCCACCTCACCTCAGCTTGGCCCCCTCTGTGGTAGCTCCATGGTTCTCCTGGCTGGTTCAGGCTGCCTGGGAAGGGACTTGCGATTTGGTTTGGGCGATGGTTTATTCCTCTTTCCTCTTAAGGAGGCAGTGGTAGGCCTTTTGCTCAAGGGGTCATCCCTCAGCCAAAGTTGCCTGGACAATTTTCATCCTTCCCCTTTTAGGGCAGGTGTAGAGAAATGGCCACACTGCAGCTTCAGTGGACTCTGGATGAAACTGCTTATTCGGAGATTAGGTTAATCCAACCTGCTGGCCTTTCTCAGAGCCCCAAAGATCTAATTCTGAGCCTAGGTCTCGGGCTCCGAGCATGTTGGGTCCTGTCTCCTGGTTATACTAATGATGAATGATTATTGTGTTTCATTTGTTGTTGTTTTATTATTATATTGTTCACCAGTCAGAGTTACTTGTTGAGATGGACAGCCATATAAATTGATTAAATAAGTAAAAAACCTTAGGAAACCTGCTTTTCTAGAAGCGGATTTTCCTAAAAAGAAACTGGGAAATGAAAGAAATGCACAGAGGGGTAAATGAGCCACCTCAGCAAAGTAGGGAGTGCAAAATGTTTAAAACACGAAACTGGTCCAGACTGAAATGCCCTCTAGTAAGTTTTATGGCTGTGATGCTCCCTTCGTTTCAGGACAAGGAGTCGTGCTGGAACGCTCTCCCTACAGTGACTTTGTTTTCCTGGAGGCCATGTCAAAACAAAACTACATTCACCCAAGGTGTAAGTAATGCTCTCTTTCATCGAGAAGTGAAGATTGCTGGTGGTCTTCTTA